GGTCAAGTCTTGTGCCTGTGGCGATCATGTCGTGGCCAAGCCGCAATCGACGACGGGCCATGCAGCAACGGAGCTGGAATCAGTAGTTGTCATCTAGTTGTGGCAAGTAACAGTGACCTTGAACTCAATCGTGTGTACCTTGACTTCAGAAGATGTAGTCGATGTGTGCCCTTGTACGGAACTGTCAAATTCAAGAATGGCAATTGAACATGGACTCATGGAAACAAATAACCTGTCAAATATGTAATATAACCTGTTGAAAACACATACCCTAAACACAGATTTTGTATGCATGTTCCATACTTTAACTAAGATAAAATGTCGGCTCTTAAATTGGCACGCGAAAAAATACTACTTCGGCTTACAAAATGTTGATTTGAACTCCCTTCATGCCCTCAAAATTCAATACGAATGGTCCAGACACCTAGTCCTGCAATTCAGCATCACGAGACAAGTTTCAGAATTGGCTGGTGATTCCTTGATCACCAGATATGCCCCGTTGAACGAACTCAACCCTTCAAATAGCTTCAGGCGGCTCTTAAATTGGCACTTTACGTTACGTTAGCAATCTCCGTTGGAGATGCTCTAAGTATTTCACGCGAAAATAGAAATTCTGCGAGTCGAAATTTCTAAAAAGTCCGCTTAGTGCCTATGCTTTAGCAATAGGTTAGAATTTACCGTTGGAGATGCTCAAACTACAGTAACGATGGATGATTATTGACATTGGAAGTTAGTTGTGCCATGATAAACGTACTACAGTGTTAGCAGTGCCGCTCGGATGTGAAATATGTCGTGAAGATTGGTGGCATTCATCGGACGAGTGCACTACAAGCGCCAAACACGACACAGCTTTGAAGTTGCACTACTGTATCAATCATGGGTTCAAACTAAATATATACTTATATAGTAGTATGCGACAGAGGTTCAACCTTTACACTTGTTTGTTTAAAGTTAACGTTGTCGCATGTAAACCTATTTCCCTATACGATCACGACTTGGAGAAATACCAAGCCGCCACCGCCACGGCGACGACAAGCACAGCCCACCCCCCACTTCGCTTTTTTGGGGGGATGGCGGCCCCGTCCTCCGTCGTGTGCCACTGGTCCAAGAACGTGGACGCAAAGTAGTCGTTGCCCTTGATGAAACGGACAACGACGTCCCCCACGACAATGCCGCCCAAGACTGGCACTTGGCCCACGCCAAGGGTTGGCCCCAGTGGCACGAGCAGCCCTTCCGAGGTCGGAGGCACGTACGGCTCGAGCACCACCTCCTTCCTACTACTACTACTACTTGTAGTACTAGATACGACCACTTTGGCCAGCTGCGCGGCCACGTGTTTGGCTTGGAACGCGCCCACGTAGGCCAGTTTCGGCGTCGGGTGGTCGCTGGCATCTCCGACCACAAACACATGCGAGTACCGGCGGTCGTCGATCTGGCACGCGCCGTTGACGCGGATGCCTCGAGACCGGATGGACAAGAGCGTCGGGTCCAACCGCCGAATCAAGTCGACGTTTGGGAGCATGCCGGCACACAACAACTGCATGTCCGCGTCGATGGACGTGCCGCGGTCGGTCGTGACGACGGCGGAGGCCGGTGGCTCGCTGTCGTGGATCAAACGCTCGCCCAGCACCACGTGGACGTTGAGTTTGGCGAGTTTGGCCGTCAGTTGCTCCCGAAACGCATCTTTCACACCTGCATTATGCATCAATCTGTTGTGACGTTCCAAAATTGTGACGTGCTTCGACGGGTACGCGGCGGCGACTTCGGCGGCGATCTCCACGCCTACCGGACCGCCGCCCACGACGAGCACGGAGGACGCGGCCTTGATGTGCTCGGCCGTGGCGGTGATGGCAGCTTCCACGCTTGCGCGGGTGTATTCCTGGAGGGGGACTTTGATGGGCGACACGTAGCTGCTGCCGGTGGCAAGCACAAGGTAGTCGAACGGCACGCGCGTGGGTGTAGATTGCGCTTTGTCGTCGACAATGGGGCGCACGACAACGACTTTACCGTCGATTTTGTCCACAATGCCGCGAAGGATCGTCGCTGTGGACGGCAGGGCGTGGTCAAGAGGGATGAACAACTTCTTCACGAACGTCGGATCGACCAACGCTCGGGGCACACCCACGCAATGGAACGTGAAGTCATTCTTCTCAATGAGCGTGATGGATGCCTGGGAAGGGGTCAGGTGCTTGGCGAGTTCCTGCGCGAACTGGACTCCGATGTAGCCGCCGCCAACGACGACAATGTTGCTCGGTGGTGGCATCATCATGATCGTGTTTACGACAATGATGTGTTGTGGATTCGATATTTGTGATCGGTATGTGATTGGCTGTTTTTAACCAATCAAACACGTCCTCAATTTTGATTGGCCACCAATGTCCAGTTTACGACAAGTCAAGGATCACAGCTTCGAACTAAATGGCGAAGAATTCCTAAAACAGCAATTCCAAATCGACAAGATTTATTTCAAGGAAAGTGAGGGTACTGGTAACGTAAAAGTCCAATTTAAGAACACTTTTTCCGAGATTCCACAAACAGCTGAAATCAAGCGGTCCAGTTTAAGGTGCACCATTTTAAGCTTAGTATTTGTATACCTATTTGCATATTTTTTTGGAGGTTAGGTTAAAAATTGCCTTTATAGGAATTGATTGGCTAATTCGCGTGCACCTTAAAATGGATCGAGCACCTTAAATTGGACTTTTACGTTACAGTAAGCTCAATCCAACCGCATGTCGGTATTGCGGCGGTGGCAGTGACTCAGAAGGTTATCAAACGCGAGCTGCTTGGTCTGTTTGATTGCAATGTCGCCCAGGCGCAGCAACGCCCGATTCCCTTGCTTCTGGAAGGCCAAGGCCAGCAGTCTGAGCCCCGCGACCAGCAGATCCCTCGTCTTCTTGGCCTCCGCCTCGACCGTGATCTTGTCGCTATGAGTCTCCACGGCCAAGTACACGTCCGAAGACCCAAGCGCGTCCACGACTTGGATGGTCAGGAGCGACACCACCACGGGGGCGTTGGGGCCCCGAAGACTCTTGGACTCCAAATACAAATAGTTGCCGCTGGGACTCAATCGCAGCAGGCGTGACTTGGTTTGGTGGCGCACCTTCAGTCCGCGAGAGAGAAGCACGCGGAAATGGCCGAGAAGTTCCGCTTCCTTGTCTTGCCGAGATGGGGATGGACGGTCCTCGGGAAGAGGGGGTGAGGCGGTGCGAGAAGAGGCGTCCGGTGTGGATGGCAGCCCAATGACACGATGTGAAGGGGTTGCAGGGGGTGGTGGGAACGAAGGTGGCTCGAGTGATGGCATTGGCGGCGATGCATCGTCGACAACATCTTTGGTTGACGTGTGTGGGGCGTTTACGACGATGGCGGACGGTGTGGTCGTTGGCGAGGATGGAGGAGTGGCGATTGAAGGGGCGCTAGTGGACAATGCTTCTGCATTGGTGGGACTGGTGGGCACCTTCCACGCTTGTTGCATGGCTTGCATGACGATGTATTGTTGTCCCTACGATCGATCGCATAATCCATGAACGCTATGGAGAAAAACACAAAGTATAGCAGGGTCGACTCGGTACCTGGACGATTGCGCCCGCGCCTTTCTGCATCGCCATCGATGCCGCGTCGCGACATAGCTGGGACAGTTTGTCGCTGGCTAAGTCAATGTGTGCATCCAATGCCTTTTCATATCTACAGACGCACATTGAGCATCCGATGATGGGTTACGAGGAACGTACTTGACAAACGATGGGGCGATGAGGTTGTCATAGATCTGCAAGGCGCCGCGAAACTGCGGCAACGCCAGCCACGCGACCATGCACACCTTGGCCTCGTAGTAGAACGGGATGTAGTTGCCCAGGAAGTCAACGAGGATTTCAAACACGGCAAAGCACGCGTTCACAGTCCAAAACACCACCCACTGGATGTGCTCGTCCGTCGCATCTTCCTTCTTCGCGGACTGGACCGACATGTAGATGGGGTACGCATACCCCACGACGTTGCATATCGTGCGCGACAGGAATCGGCCCACCAACATGTTCGATCAACAGTGGCGACGGCAGCGGCAACAAACGCGAAGATTTTTCGGTTTCTTGGACGAATTATCTGTACTATTCTCGCTCTCATCCGGACATCAGGAAATTATCCGGAAATGAGTGTTCATTGGTCAAACGATGGTGAATTATCCGGTTTGAATGTTGATTTCTATTCATGGGTCCAGTGTAATCATCGCAGCTGACCTTTGGACCATGCCCTTATTCTTGAACTACTGCTACGTACACCTATGACGCTACCGCTGGACACGCGCAAGTACATTCTCGTGTCGATCCCGGCATCCAACTACGTCCAGAAGGCACGCTGGGGGCTACGTCTGGCGAAGATCGATTTCACCGAAGAAATGCACGCGCCTGCGTTCCATCGATTCTCCACAAGACCCAAGGGCGGGTCATCGGTGCCACTGCTGTACTGCCCCGATACGAAGCTCAGTCTGACGGACAGTGACCCAATTCTGTCCTTTTGTGGCCAGCATGTCCCTTCGCTGTACCCTCACGAGCATGTGAAGGCCCTGGAATTGAAGTACGACACCGATTTTGGCCCGCATGCGCGGCGATACGCCTATGGCTTCATCTTCGCCAAGAAAGGTTCGACCTTCAAGCACATCATTGTCGACTCATTGCAGGGGACTATGGAGTCGTATGTTGTCAGTTGCGTGTTGCCGATGCTCCAGATCATGCTGACCAAGGCATTCAACGTGACTGACGCTGGCGTCGAGCGTTCGTGGGCGAAAATCGACCACGTATTCAACGAAGCCAGTGCTATCTTGGGGGACGCACCTCTCGGCTCGACGTACTTGGCAGGGCCTTCATTTACGGCGGCGGACATCTCGTTCTGTTCACATGCCTCGTTGTTGCTTGGGCCACCACAGAACCCCTTCCTGCACCCGCATTTTCAACCAGACGACATGCCATTGACATTTAGAGCTCGCTACGAACACCTTCGTACATCGAAAGCAGGGCAGTTTGTCTTGTATTGCTTTGAGCACCATTACCCTTCCTCTGACGATTTGTAAGCGTAATACATGTGATATGAACCACACGGTATCTTGACCTGTATAATGACTGGCAAGAGTCCTGATATAGTACGCTTACACGACCAGTGCACAAACCTAGCCATGTCGCTTCTACTCGAGTAGTTTTGCTCGCTGCTACTAGTATCTGTACTCTGAACCTTCCTCGATGATTTCACCAAGCTCCACTTCGTTGTTAGTGTTCAGGTGTTGAGAGTTCATTTCTGTGGTTGAAAGCCAAACTAACACGTTTGATTGGTCCGTTGTGCTATTTCGGTTACGTTTTACACCAATCAAACGCCATTGACAACGTGGCTAGGGTTCCGGATACAGGAAGGATCTAGTGAAGAGCAATAGTATGAGGAAACATGGGGCCTCGAAGTGTGTTGGTGACGATCCCAGCGTCCAACTATTGCGAGAAGGCGAGATGGGGATTGCGGCTGGCCAAGATCGAATTTGTTGAAGAGATGCATGCTCCTCTGTTCCACTATCTGTCCACGAAACCCAAGGGTGGGCGGAGTGTGCCGTTGTTGGTGACGTCGGAGTCCACGACCTTGAAAGACAGCAACGCCATCCTGTCCCTATGCGGCACTGCGTTGCCGTCGTTGTATCCCCACCCAGTCGTGAAGGAGAAGGAACTTCACTTTGACAACCATTTCGGCCCGGCCGCACGTCGGTTCGGCTACGGCCTGATGTTCTCTCTCGGCCCTTCCGTGGCCAAACGCATCATCGTGGACCCATTACAAGGCACCGCCGAAGCTTACGCGGCGTCGGCATTATTTCCATTGCTCAAGTCCGCTCTCATCAAGTCGCTCAACATCACGGACAAGGGCATCGAACGATCTTGGGCCAAAATTCAGACCACATTTGACGAAGTCAATGCAATCTTGGGCGACAAGCCACTTGGAACTCAGTTCGTGGCGGGAGACTCGTTCACGGCAGCGGACATTTCGTTTTGTTCCCATGCGTCGTTACTGTTGTCACCTCCTCAGAATCCCTTCCTCGCGCCATATTTGAACGTCTCCGATGCTCCCCCGATGTACCAAGCTCGCTACCACGAACTCGCGGCGTCCAAAGCTGGTCAGTTTGTCCTTTGGTGTTATGCAAACCACTATCCTCCGATGCACCCCAACAACCAACCAGCGAAACTCTGACCAGTAAAAGATATGCGCCAATTCTGCTTGCTCCATAAGCCAGTTCAATTGAACAATAAAGCGGATGAATTGCCATACAACCTACCGATTAAGGCAGCTTCTACACACAACCATATTGGCTCAAAATATTCGTAGCGAGCGCACACAGCAGAAACCCTAGAGTTCAGGGCGAGCAATGACGAACGATGCTACAGATTTGTAGATCAAAAATGCTGGTGATGGAAACAAGGAATAGTCTGCACATGTATGGGCACTAGAATCGCTGACTTGGGCTACTAGTACGACGACTACTGTACCGGTACAGCAAACAACGCAGCAATGCTATGGATGTTACTAGTATAGAGTACATGACGAGCATTAGTCTAGCCAACCAAAATGAAAGAAAAAAGAAATAGCACTTCCTGGTTTCGATCCAGGGACCTTTGGGTTATGAGCCCAACACGCTTCCTCTGCGCCAAAGTGCTTGATAAGGTGTCACTTTGAATTAAGTTATTAAAAGCTGCGTATAATATCGTTGTGTGTCGATGTATTAATGCTAACGTTACTATGCCTTCGTGTCAAAACGTGGCACGACAATGGTGCAGGGTTCAAAGCAGAGAACGCTGTACCAGTAGTCGTCAACTGTCCAATGCGTGCATCTTGGGATCCATTTACTTGACCCGCGTGTTGGGTGCTACTACTGTATCGGTACGTCGAAAGGGTGCCGCCAACGCGAATGTCCAGTTGGATCAATGACTTGGACTAGTTACTACTAGTGTGACCATTGGGTTATTACACGAGCGAGGCGAGGCTATCGTGTATGAATGGGGGATGGATTTGCTGGTGGCGTCCCAACCATAAGCAATACGTAGATTGCCATTACAAATCCAACGCTCGACACTCTTAGATCCTATGTACTCCTATGCAAAACCCTTCAACCCCCCACGTCGCACGCGGTAACTTCCAGCAATCCCCCCTGGAGTCCTGCGATACGGTCCTCCAAGTACACACAGGCCAACAACACATATGATGTGATTAAGTTTGTGATGTAAAGCAATGCTCTGCCGCGGCGTCGATGCTGCCTCGCGCCGCTCGGAGCCCGTCCAGCGCTTGGTCGATGGTGAACCCCATGTCCAGCAGCGTCTGGACGCGCTGGGACTGCTTGAACCGGATGCGGAGCGGTCGCTTTTGCGCTTGGATCATCTTCAACGCGCGTTCGACCGAGTAATGGCCCAGCGGGTGCCCGTTCGCCATGACCACTGTGTCAAACAGTCCGATCACCCCGCTGGCTTCGGCCTCCAACATGGCACCGTGGGGGGTGCGGGGGAACGCTGTCACACACAAATCGTCGTCCAGTTTCTCCAAGTACAACCCCAGCACGACCGCGTCCACGGGGAACTCGACGTCGTACTCGTGGGGTTGCGCGGGCTTGAGCATGATGTTGGTGCGCGGGGGCATCGCAATCGCCTCATTGACGGCCGTGATATTTTGCCACAGTTTCGACGCAGAAGTCGGCAGGAAGCTCAACGACTTGTCGGCATCCTGGAGCGTCCGGACGACAGGCGCTGGCCCCCTCTCTGTCGAAACACAAGTGTCTGACCTCAAAGGCGGCGACGCACTCGAGCTTAACGCGGCCAAGAGCTTCGACTTGCCCAACGGCGGCGACGGCGGCGATGCTTGCGTCGTCGTACGCTCTTCTGGCAATGCGACCACCGTCTCCCCCCGAAACAAGCCAATGGACGAGTCCTAGTCACGACAGCGTCGAATTGATGGATCGATGCAAACTGTAGTTTCAACATGGAGAACTATATTGGCGAGTCGGAGAAATATATCGGAGGTTAGTGGAAATATTTTGAAAAAAAGCTGAAATTAAACGCAAAATGGTGTACTACCTTTCGCGCGTCGGGAATTTCGTAAAACAACAGCACGGGTTGGTACCGTCCTTTGACGCAGCTACAACAAGATAGATGATCCGTCAACACCATATAGTGTGCTGAGTTTACAAATTCCACATCGAATTAGTGTGTGACTTAAATTAGTGTGACACTGGACGAATTTTACATACAAAAGTCAAAGAATTGATCGATGACGGATTTGGGGTAAAACGACAATAGGTACTCAACGTACTGGTCCACGACGGCGGTCCATTTGCCAATGTCCGTGACCTTGTTGTCGTCAAACAATAGCCACCGCTGGTGGGCAGTGCTGAAGAAGAACGCAAAGTAGTGCTTGCCGTAGTAACACACGAACCCCTTGAACCGATACTGGCATCGGATGCCATGCATGACTTGGGTCATCTTGGCCGCTTCGCCATCTACTTGGAACGCTTCTGAGAGGTCCAATGTGTCGCTGATGGTCGACAGCAGCGCCTGGATGTCTTCCTTGGGCGGCGAGTTGCTCGACCACAACAACGACATGGCAAACACGGGCGGGAACCGGTGGATCACACGCTAAACACAAGCAAACGTACATATAATCGATCAACACCACACGACAAGTTCCGTATTCTCCATTGGCACACTGTCGCATGTGCGTGCTATTACCTCGGTGGCCAACTTGCCGTTGCACGTGTCCACGTGGCACGTTCCCAAGTCGCCATTGATGGCGTCTGGAAGGTGCTTCAACATGGACCCCATGTCAGTTTGCTGCAAACTCAGCGCCGCGGTCGCATAGATGCTAAAAACCTACCCATGAACGAACAAACGAAGGATCATGAGTATGCCCAGCAGTCCAGAGCCCAAGTACCAAGTTGCTGCACAGTTCCCACGACGACGCGTGGTGGCAACTCTGGCACACGTTTCGATCGTAAATTTGGTGGCTAAACACAATATGTGGGATGCTGTTGGGGTCGAAGATGGCCACGGGCTTTTCAACGTATCCGTCCACGCTTTTACTCGCCACCGTCCGCGTGCGCTTCAACGCCGCGCGTTCCGTTTCCGTGAGTTGGATCAGGTCCTATCCCATATCCATGCCGTCATTATCATGTACTTGTGAACACGGAAATGGTCTCTTCATAGAATTCGTGGCCACGTACAGATTGCTGGTGCATGAGGTTCAAGATCGTCAGCAGCGTTTCTTCCGCATCGGCCATCGACCCCTCGGCAAACAATTGGTCCTACGCATATATATATGATTGTAAAACTTTTGCGGTCGAAACTGTCAAACTGGGAATTGCATCACGCTGGAACATCTGATTGGCTAAATATACTAGTTTTTTTTCTGTAATGTCCATTCCGAGCCACTGAGAATTGAAAAAATAGGCTCCACAACAAAAATGTCAGAAAACACCACTTTTTGCACCTTTTCAGAAATATTATGACAATTTTTCAAACGACATCATTTAATACGTCGAATTTTTACTGCTTTCTGACAGAAAAAAGTACAAAGTCGACGTATATATTGTCGATTTGATACAAATTTGGGGAGGGGGTGCAATCGAATCACGCCGACCAAACCGATCCACAATCGATCTGATTGGTTGTTGAATTTCATTGAGAAGGTTTTGATTGGCTCAAAATTATTAGCCAATCAAAACCTTCTCAATGAAATTCAGTAGCCAATCAAATCGATTTAAATTCCAACGAGAAACCACAACACAATGAAATTTCACTCGAAAGCACAATATTATGTCAATTTATTTATGTCAGATTTGGTAGTCAACAAACGCACAAAACATCTCGTTTGATTATTGTCATAATATTTCTGAAAAGTTGCAAAAAGAGAAGTTTTCTGACATTTTCTGTGGCATATCCAGATTCGGCCTTTGCCAATAACGTCAATTCGATTTCACGATCATATTGGTACCGCATCCACAAGAATACAATATACATCGTATTTTGATAACTAAAAGAAATTCGAGACTGCAAGACAAGCAACCGTATCGCAGGCAAATCAAAGAAATCATCGACAAGAATCCAAGAGCTACTGGAAAAATAGTACCACGGACGCACCGTTTTGTAGAGAAGACTGAGCCCTTGGCGCAATTCCTTGGGATGCAACGACCCCGACGACGGGTCTTCGTACGACATCATGGTGGCTTTGAGCGTCTTGAGCACATTCGTGGCGGCCGCGGCGCCGTCCTGCGTTTCGCCGCCGCCGTTCGCCTTGTCGTCGTCCGACGCCGGCAAGTCCTTGATTGTCACGTCCAAGAGGAGACGACGCAGCGGCACCAAGTGCCAAAAGCTCTGGATGATCACGTTCAAGAAGCAATTGTTTTCGCCTACACGTTCATGTCAATGTCCAAACTGATCACGTCATCACGACTACTGCCAACGTCATGTGATGAAACAACATGACACGTTATGACCAACCGAGAGATAGATCGACCTACCCGTGCCGTTTTGAAGCCCCCGATGAATGGACGCGCCTTTGCGCCACATTTCCGTGTTGGATTTGGGCAGCTTTTCCAGCGCCGCGGCCGCCACATTGCGCCACACACTCTATATATCGGCCACAAAACCAACACATAAGTGAGAAATCGGAGGGACTTGGACATTAAATGATGATGCATGAACATGGGAAGAGCTGGGGTACCTCGGACGTGAGGTTGTTGGCCCACGAGTCGAACAACTCGGTGGTTTTGACGTCCACTTCAAGCACGCACGGTCGATTCTCCTTGTCCAAAGCGTGGAGAAAGAACCCGCAGTTGCGTTTATCCCAAGGCACGAATCTACGTCATGTACATGCGACGGGAACGAATGAACGAACGAACGAGGCAGGTATGGGCGGGGAAGGAAACGACGTGGGACGTTACTTGAGCTCGGAATACGTTTGCTTGGTCGACGTCAAGGCCGCGGCCAATTCGTCCGTCGACGGCTGGAACTTGAACGTGTACATCATGATGGATGTTGGTTTCATCGGATGAACCGCCAGCACGCTGTAGCGAACGTGCCGGGGTCGCTACAATTGCCATCACCACCCCTTAACGTAGCAAGCAGAAAGGACAGGAACACGAACCACGTTCACGTAGCTCTGCGTCTTGATCTGCATCCATCCACTGAAGATTTCGACCGCTGGAAGCTACGTCACGTGAAGGTCGATGAGGACAATATATGCGCAGGAGGATGAAAGCTACGCGCTTACGCCATGACCGATCGCGGCAGCAGATGCAGGTGGCGAAGTAGCAAGCGGCGTGTCACTCATCATCTCTCGACAAGTGTACTTTTGTGTAAACCTATGGTTAAACTTAGTACACACTTAAACGCATTGGGTTAAACCTACCACCTCGAGGGTCCAGGTGATCCACGAATGTTGTTTAAACAGCTTTCTGATTCAGGTTTTACGAACATTACCGATTCCGAACGTTTGATTGGCTAAAATATCCGTCGATTGGAGTTAAACGGACCAATCAACGTACGAACTGGACATTTCACATGATTGTGTTCATTATGACGGCGACGCGGAGCTACTGCTACTTGCGCTGGCGACACGCCCATCTGCCTCGTCGCCGAGCACAGTGTCGATGAGTGCAGAAGCATGCTTCATCGTTTGAAGCGACTTGACTAAATAGTGCAACTGGCGGAGCACCGTGAGAACTTTGCAGTGCCGCTCTTGTTCGTCTGCTGTTGTTCGCGCCAACGTCCGCAGCCGACTCTACACAACATGGTATGTATCTTGCCTTTTGTGCATTCCCAACGCAATGGTTCACAGGACAGACGACGACAATACGTACCTCGACTCGAGGATACACGGCGACGCGGCATGGGCTCGTGTTGTGGTGTTGGCTGCTGGTGCTGGTGCTGCTGCTGACGATGGCTTCGTTCGAGTGGTCGACCGAAAGCCTCCGCCGCTTGGTCGGGTGATGTGCGACATCGTTTCGAGGGGGCTGGAGCAAGTCTGCGCAATAGTATGCACAGAGAGCGTTCAGTTCGTCCGCATCGAACGGGAGCGCGGCAATCTTGTCTAGCACCTTGCGCGACTGGTCCACCACCGCCCCCTCTCGACTCGTAGTAGCCTCCCTCTCCCCCGTGTCTGCAGAAGTTTCTGCGACACTGTCTGGCACCGCCAACCGCCTCACGTGGTCCATGATACGCTCGTTCAACGCACATACCGGCTGGGGCGCTGTGAGCTCGACCGCTTCGGGCACATCTACATTGAACCCACCCGGGGCAAAGCTCAAGTTGACCCCCGTCAACTTGACTAGCGGCAGCGACGGGTTGATCTGGAGCGCGGTGACGATGCACTTGGCCGCGTACTGGTACGCGTCGTCTTTAGCCAGCGACGCCACGTTGGGCGGCGGCCGCTGCATGTACTTGGTGGACGCCCAGTCATGCCCATCCAGAAGCAATCCCATGAGAGTTTTCGACTCGCGTAGCCCCATGCACAAGTCCCGAAAGCCCAGGAGACTCAAGTGCGCGTAGCTCAGGTCTAGCACCCGAAGGGATGTGGTCGTGGCAATGCAGCGGCCAAGGGCGGCGGCGCCGGCATCGCCCACGGGATTGTTGTCCAGGTAGAGGTTCTGCAGCCGATTCGGTCGACTCTCGAGCATTTCGGCCAGCGCGATCACCCCCGCGGCGTCGATGTTGTTGAACCCGATTTCGAGGGTCTGCAGCGGAAGGATCGCCGTCGAGAACGCGTCCACGAGGCTGTGCACCCCGGCGGATTCGATCCGGTTCTGGCTCAGCATGAGCTCTTCCACGTGGTGGTTGACTGTGAGCGCGTCCGCCAAGTGTGCCATGCCGCCGCTCCCAATCCCGTTCGTCCCCAGGTACAACGATGTGAGCGTCGTGTTGACCCGCAGCATGTCGGCGAGATGCTTCACTCCTTCGTCCCCGATGCCGTTTCCACTGAGGTACAGCGTCTTGAGCGAGTGGTTGGACCGCAACGCGGCACTCAGCCGCGCCGCCCCGCCGACGCCAACGCCATTGCCACTGAGGTACAGCGTCTTGAGTGTCCGATTCTTTCCTTCCTCGAGGGCGTCTGCAATCTGCTCGACGCCTTTGCACGTGATGCCGTTGAAACCGAGGTCCAATAATCCGAGACTTTCGTTGGACGCCAATGCCTTCCCGAGCACCCACGCGCCGCGGTCGCCAAGGTCGAACCCACCGAGCTTGAGGATCTGGACGTTGTTCAAGTCAGACCGCACGCGGCGAAACAGGTCCGAAGACAGGGTGAACGACATGTAGCTGCGCACACGCTTCTCCAAAAGTGGACGCGACTGCTGACCACGCGTCTTGCCTTCGTCTTCGCCAGGACACGCATATGTCATGCGGTCCGCTCTATACTTGTACCGAGCATGGAGTTCTCCCATGGTGCACTCCGTTCTAAGGCAAATTGGTTGGGTGTGGACTCCGGAAGGGATAGGCAGGGGTGGGTCACTCGATGGCCGACCGCGCTGGTTGTTGCCGCCGCCGCTGCCGTGGAACCCTCAACCGAATTGATATTTCGAGGGAAATAAAATACCCCGACGGAAAATAATTAAACACAAATTTAATTCTGGAAAGCCTGTTATATATAAAGGATTTGTATGCAACCTTCTGAACAATCGGAATAAAAATGAGTTCCATTTGATTCTGCCAATGGCATCAACTCACAAACGCAGACACATTAGCGAGAGGCGGCGGATGCGGAGGACGAGGACGTGTCCAAGCGACGGGAACATGAATATGGAAAGCATCCATGATATTGTCTCAGCGATAGTGATGCGCAGCAGGTATAGTACATGCATGGTCTTATATGGACATATGTACTAGTGATGGAGGGTTTCTGGTTGAGTCTTGAGTCGGCGCGATCGACGTCACGGTGCCGCTTGACCTTGGGGAGCAGCGGCGACAGCGGCGGCCACCGTTTGGCGCCATCGTTTGCGCGCGGCAAATCGGCGCTGTAGCTTCCTCGCCACGCGATGGATGGCGCTGTGATTGATCAGGACAAACACTTTATCATGGGGGTCCACAATCGTGTGGGCATACGGACTCGTGTACACATACGGCTTGGCGGCACCGTTCAAAAAGGACGGCGCGCGGAGCAACCCGATGGGCAGCGCGTGGGCATGCTGCCGCGTCATGCGGCTGACGAGGTCGCCGTACGAGAGTTGGAGGTGCCGCCATTGCACAGGGATGTCGTACAGCATGAAGATGGACTTGCCGTCGAGGACATGGCGCATAAAGACGTTGATCGACGCATTGTAGAAGCTCTGGATGAGCAACTCGTCGGCCACGTACGCCGGGAAGAGTCCGCCGCTGATGTACCGCTCCTGGAAGAACGTTTCGTCGTCTACGTTGAACTGGTCCATGAGCGCGTACGCCTTGTTGACCGTGCCGCGTCGGTCGCCATCATCGTCCTTCACACCCCGCGCCAAGCCGTTCCGGAACAGCGCGGCGCGGATCTCTCTCCAAACGTCCTTAAATGTGTTCCACTTGTCCGACACCCACTGCGTAATGTCCATTGAGTAGCTCCGCTGCAGCGCCAGCCGCCGCCCGCCGCCGCCTTGGGTTATTCGCGACGTGGCCTGTGACGCGCGGGAGAGGCGGGAGCCTTGCGATCGGGACGACATTTGCGGCGGACGAACGTGCGCCGCCAACGTCTGAGGACTCAACGGGGTGCCTGTGAGCATGGGCGTGGCCGACTGATTGCTGCTGCGGCGCAACGAATGCACGTGAATCGCAGACGGAATCGCGGGGTCGTCGGTGGTGGGACTGCCGTGGAGGATGTCCAAATACTTGTTGAAATGCTCTTCTTTGAGCTCTATGATTGAAAACTGGACGCGGGGGTGGGCCATGTGGGGTGCATCTTGAATGGCCGCGTCAATCAACATGGTCTTGAAGATCGCTTCCGAATCGATCAAGTTCTACAGTATCTCATGGTTTTATCATCATATACTTACTACCATAAGTCACTTTGCAGTTCACATGAGAGTCATAAGCCAGTCAAATTTCCACGAGGGGCGTCGTTCACTTTGCACTTCAAAGTGGTGCAATGTACATATATATGTGTATGTACAGTATGTATATAATAAGTACCCCCTCTTCCGACCCCTGATCCAGCACAATCACCGCCGACGCCTTGTAAATCCCCGCGCGGACCAACGAACTATGCTTTTGCGGCGATCCTACCCATCATACATGTCAACTTCACAGTTCCAACCGCCGATTGAGGGCCAAGGTCGAATATAGTGTGCTCAATCGAATGAGTAGAATAATCGACCAATCAAAACCCAGAACACGAATCAAGTACCCAATCAAATCCACTCTTCGACCAATTCCACCTCGATTTAAGTATGTGACTTCCAATTCGTACATACAAACGTCAGTACAAAGAATCGAACGATTTGGAAAATCACCAAATATTGGGTAAAAGGACACTTCTACCGTGCAAGTGGTAGACGTCGCCGAACACACTCAGCTGGGCCCATGCACTGTCTTTGAACTCGGTCGGATGAATTATCACCACCGCCACGGGCGCTGTGACGTGATCTTTCCGCAACGGACGCAAAAAGTTGACCAAGCGGGCGATGGTTTGGTCGCCAGAGGGGCCGCTGAAAAGATCACGTCATCTCGTGATCACGTCATCCATGTATATGGTGCGATACCTGCAAATGACAATGTGCCCCCCCGCGTTCAGCAGCGCGGGCGGTGGCGGGCGCGCCTTTTCCAACGTGACCATGCGTCCAATGTAGTCGCGGACGGACTTTGGGATGCGTTTCTCGACCTGTGACACGGTAATCATGACGTGATCAATCGACATGTGACGTGGTCGTACCGTATGACGGGCGCGATGGGCCGCCTTCACAAGGTGGTTGCGGACTTTGAGCAGACCCATCAACTTGGACGTGTGGAGCGCTTGGCCCACCGCGGCAAACGGCGCCACCGTTTTGACCGATTCGGCAATCATGTACACCTACCCCCCCCCACCCCCCTTACATCCCCGACGAGCGTTCGTGTCCATCCATCTATTCGTACATACCTTTGTCGCACGGGCAAGAACAAACGTGTGGCCGGGGTTGGTCACAATGTCGTGGTGGTGGTCGTCGTCTTGAACGGCCAAGAGGAGCACTTGACCGTTCGTGTCACCAAAGATCATGTGCGCCGCGTCCAAGAACGTCATGCCGTGGAACCGCTCGTCCAAGTGGCAGGCGTAGATCTCTTTGGCTGCGCCCGTGACGTACTCTTCGACCCACAGGGGCACTTGGTCGCCGACGTTGCCAGCGTCTTCGTTGTTACGGCGCACGACGTCTTCGAACGCTTGCATGTCAAATGACCCGATGAGGTTGGCCATGAGCGTCGACAATCCGCGGCATCGGCAGCTCAGCCCCATGAGTCCGAGCTTGATTTCGTCCGAACAGACCAAATGGTCGGCGGGGATGCCCGTCGCCTCGAGCAGCTTGTGGTTTTCAGCGTTGACGACCATCGCAAACAGATGCGACGCGTCTGCGACGACGTTGGTCACGGCGAGCACGCGCAGGACGTTGGCCGCGTCCTCCTCGTTGGCGAGCTTGGCGTACTTGTTGGGGAGGAAGAAGACGGCGGTGGCGTCGCGGATCTTGGCGCGGCAGAGGTCCGGGTCCGAGAGGGGCGATCCGGACAGGAGCGTCACCTTGCCGTGCATGTGCGGATGGGCGTCGATGTAGGCCAGCACGACGCGGTGGAAGGCGGCTTCAGCATCGGCGTGGCCGTGGAACTCGACCAGCACCACCAGCTCCATGTGGCGCGTGCGCGCGGCGGCATGGCGCTGCCGCCTCGTCGCCCCCGACGGTATGCCCGGTGGGGCGGAAGACGGGGGAGGATGAGAGGACGACAGGTGGTGGTCGTGGTCTGGATGGAAGAACTCGCGCAGAAAATCGAGCACTTGCACCGCCGCGGGGTTTCCAGTGAGCACGACGTGGGGCGTGTGCCGCTTGAGCGCGTACCGCCGCCGTCCGAGCCGGCGATCTTCAAAGATGGCCACGAGGTTGGCGGTCTCGGCGGCGAAGAAGTAGATGCCCGCAGGGATGAAGAACAGCACGAGAAACCGCCCAAGCACGGTCTTGGGCGTGATGTCACCGTACCCGACAGTGGAGACGGTCACGAGCATGAAGTAAAGCGACGTAAACAGACTCATGCGCTCCGTGCACAATCCTGACTCAAATCCGTCCGTGTTGTTGGACGGGATGAGTTCGCCCGCTGGCGTCGGACACATGTACACGTGGACAAGGAACGAATTCGTGTCGGGGATTTCGCCAAGGTACTCCAACGAGTACAGCACCGCCGCCGCTAAACATGCATGTACATAAGTATGTACATAGATGACCGCCACGAGAGATGTCAAGATACAACTGAGCGAACACTTCGAGCAACGGGACAGGGCAAAAGCAAGTGATGGGTGGGTCGGTCATCGGGACGTACCGAAAAAGATGAGGCAGGCTGTTTTCACGAGAATGCGGCCGAGTTGCATCGAGTAGTTGGTCTTGTAGCGCTATACCAATCATCATACTTTAAGTGACATGGTGACGTGGCACACGGGAAAATGAGTGTAAAGTGTGTGTCACAATAGTACAAGTGCAAAGTCGGATCGTTATTACGTACGTCAAACACAGTGGCCAGGACGTGGTAGATAATGTACGACCGAAGAAAGGCAAAGTTGAGCCACGAGTACCGGAGTTTGCCCACGGCCTAACGACACCAAGAATCGCATGATGGTGAGAAAGGTGAAGGAAGGATGGGAGCGATCCATGAAGGGCGATCCTACCACCGACGTGCCAAGTGCGAAATGGGATGTGATGGACAGCAAGTCGAAGAGGTTGTTGAGCTGGAGGCAATGGTACACCCTACAAGTCCAAAGGTTGGTCACGGGCAGCTACGACAAGGCGGCATATATTGCTACTTGTTGGGCGCGGAAATCCATCGCAACGAATAACTAAACGCGCAAAACATCAACAGAAGTGACTCGACAGCCCACGTGGCAGGATTCAGCCGCATGGAACCGGCGCGAACGACTAGAGGAATGAAATCAGAGTCACATTCGCTTCAACGTCGATCGACCGACGATGGTGACGTACTCCATGCCCCGCAACATACGAGAGACGAGATGAGTTGGAGACCCGCGCCCTATGGTTGCGTGTGAGTAGTCATTGCCAGGAACTAGAGCGGACGCACGGCATGGGCGCTGTAGGACGCGAGGCGCCGCAGCCTCTCGATGTACGGATTGCGCGCCATTTCAAGCCATTCGAAGAGCACGGACACGGCAAAGATGGGCGTTTGCAGGTACAACCAGAAACGAAACTGCATCGACACGAGTTCCCAATTCGCCGTGAAGCATTCCGGGTTTTCGTCCAAGAGGGCGCATGCTTTCTCGGCAAGCACGGACATGACCGTCCCCGACATGTTGCTGCGATGATACTCGTACACGTCCGTGACGAAGGTGTTATTGATCCAAGTTGCATTCTTGAACTTGATGGACGTGGCCAAGTCCACTCCCATCGCAACCGCATCTCCCAATGTCTGCACCATGATTCTTCACGCCACTCGCGTGCGTCGGCGGCGGTTCAATTGACAGGTTGGTAATGGCGTGTGAGTTACTCGTATCCGGGTCCGGATAACTCATGTTGAAGTTTCTCTACTGTAGTACGCAAGCCAGGTACATACTGTATTTTAATACCAGGCCTGCGTTTCACCTCATGTTATTAAAATAACAATTCAAAAATAATATAAATAAGCACTTACTTTCCATTTTCTGGATACCAGTATATATCAGGGCCACTCTGGCTGCCACAAAAAATGTCAGAAAACATATCTTTTTGCAACTTTTCAGAAATATTATGACAACTTTTCAAACGACGACTTTTGCGTGTTTGGCTACCAAATCTAACATATATAAAGTGACCTAATACGTCGAAAAATTCCTGTTTTCTGACAGAAAAAGTTTGAACTGCAACTGTCCAACATGATATTCTATCGATAGCCAGTGATCACATCAAAACATTTCGAAAATATTTTCTCTCCTCCCATTTGAGAAGGGAATTCTCTGTCAGAATATTATTAGACATCAAATTTTCTGTGGCATCCAGACTCGGCCTAAAGGATACTACCATATTTAATATACATATGAGACTTTGGAAAAAAATTCCAGATTTGCCAAATTCGTTTATGGCATAATCTAGACCTGCCCTTAACAGTTTACGGAGTCGGTTTACGGGACCGCGCGTAGTCTCTGAATATTATGGCATAAAGTTATGAGGTGGCATCCAGCCGTTAGCTTTCAAAATATTTGGCCATGAAAAAAACGAGAAAAGAAAAATATCCAAAGTTGTCTGGATGCCACTTGAATTATGGAAAATTATTCGATTTCCGATTGAAGTGCAAGACTTCAACGTGAACACAAACCTCCATAAAACACCCAATTCTCAAGACAATTGTGGCATAAAGTTTGAACCTTAGTGGCATCCAGACGCACAAAATCTCGAAAAATGGAGTTATTTCGATTTTGGCAACTTTTCTTGGGAAAACGGCCATTTTATGCCGTTTATCGTGGCATCCAGATGCACCCTAATACTGTAAACCTATGGTTTCATGCCTTCGTAAACTATAAAAAATGAAGGATCCGCACGAAGACTCCACAGCTCGAGTGCTTTTGATTGGCATGTTTTGATGACACATCGTCGATTCGTATGCCCAACTCCAATGCGTTCCATTTTATGGTGGTTGACCCAGTTAAATTAATAAATGGAATATCGGAATATTGTCAAATCGAATCGAATCTGGAGCCATCAGCAGTGGATTGATGTAAATGTACTGTCTAAGCCAATCCAAACACGTCTAGTCGAATTTCTGCCAATCCATACTATTGATTTGGCCCACAAGGTCTCTCCGCATTCGTAAAACCAGATATTATTAATATACTTCGAAGTACCATAAAAAAATCACACTTAAGTACTTCGAAGTACTTCGAAGTACTTATCTTTGTAAAGGATCAAGTGGATTCGAATGCTATTTGGCGAAATGATATACAAGTCTAAATATTTGGGTGAAATGCACACAATACATAGTAACATTTAAATTACATGCACGAGGGGCTTGAGAAGGCTTTGCAACCACAGCATATCCTTCAAGACATGACCTCATATACATACATGCTAGTCTCAAGGTATTCTTTATGCACCAAGCTCGTATATGTATGTACTACTCCTGTCGTCAAGTTGGAACTTTATGCAACCACTTGGAAGGAAAATGGGTGAAAGATCGCAAATCAACAACACGCGCGGTTTTCGTTTCTCCTAATTAGGGATTAGTGTTTATCCTGGGTCTAATTTAACCATACAAAATGCCATCGGTTGTAGAAGGATCTTGTCCGAATTTGATGGGTGAAATCGGACGTTTCGAATTTTCCGTGGGGAAACAATTGCGATCTTGGCATTTCACTCTCCGACTTGCCGTGAACTTCCCAAGCATCTGCAGCCCCTCCACACACCACCAACAACGATGCTAACAGAAGTAGTCCAGGTCAAGCAATTCAACGACTACGGCTTCGAGTGCTGGGGCCTCTTTGCAAAGGAAGACCTTCCCAAGGGAACGTTGGTGTGGTATGCGGAAGGCCATGACGTGTTGGAGACGTTCACAAAGGCCGAAATCCTTGCGCACCCCGAGCAAGAAACTCTCATCACGTACTCTTACATGCGCGGCGACGACAGTACGTTTGAATGTTCCCATGATATGGCCATGCTAAAAATCGTCACCTTGTAGAGTTTTGCTCGACGTTGAACCCGTCGTCGGACCCGAGCTGGTACTTCAACCACTCGTGCATGCCTACATGTTGGTACGAAGGAGACGAACGCATTACGACATGTCGTGACGTGAAGAAGGGTGAACAACTCGCGTACGACTATTCCTGCACCGAAACGGAGTCGTCCATGCACTATGGTCTTCGTTGCCTTTGCGGCACAGCGGCATGCCGCGGCGTCCTCACGTTTTCGGAATGGCGCAGCCGCGCGTACGTGCGCAAGAACAAGGGTCACTTGAACGACTACGTGTGGGAAAAACATGCCGAGAACAGTTGGTACGATTCCCGCACGGAAGTCCGCGCCAAGGGCGGTGACTCTCGCGGCTTGTTTGCGCGCATCCAGAAGGACGCCGTGATCAAAGCGGGTGAAATCGTGGTCGTCTTCTCAGGCAAAATTGTGCACCGTAACGAAGTGTCGGAACCGGGCGCGATCTCCAAGCGCGACTTGGAAATGTCGTTGCAAGTGGCGCCAGATCTGTGGCAAATTCCTTCCTGGAAGGTACGAAACGCCCGTTCATTTCCATCGTATCCTTAGACTCATGGTATCCTTAGGAAAGCGGAGAAAAGTACGACACAAGCGACTTTATCAATCACTCGTGCGATCCGTCCTGCGGCATGTGGGACTCGGTGACGGTCGTGGCCATCCGAGACATCCACCCCGGCGACGAAATCACGATCGACTACGCCATGGTGAATGACGGGTCCATCAACACCATGACCACGGGCGACAGCGACGCGTTCGAGTGTCAATGCCACAGCGCCAACTGCCGCGGCAACGTCACGCCGTCCGACTGGAAGTTGCCCGAAGTCCAGGCGCGCATCGGACAGTACTTTGCCCCATTCGTGAAGGACCTCGTCCGCCGCCGCGCTCACGTTTCCCCATGAGCGCATCGCACTCGGCTGGAGTGATGCTGTACGCGTACGTACATATGGGAGGAAGACCCCATACAAGGGGGAATGAAGGTCACATACACAGTAATGAAAAATATCAAGAAACGAGCAGTGGCAACTCTTCTATACCAGCCCACTGCACACAACACCATCCATGGATGGACATGGAATCGACATAACCAAGAGGCGCATGTCAGGAGCGCCACAGACACTTATGAGTTGTGCTGTTTTCTCCCGTTGCCACGTCACACGCATATTGGTTGTCCATACTGTATACCAGTACCGGTATGTCGAATGTGATACGCTGTATCGATATTATTGGCGTGTGAATATTGATGATTGTCAAGTCGATTCGAAATCAGAGTAGACAATCAATCGACCAATCAAAATCCAGAGCACTAATCAAGTTCACTCTTCGACCAATTCAACTCCAAATTAGTGTTTGACTGAAATTAGTGTGTAACGTCTAAACGTACAAAAGTCAGGACAATAATGAAGCGATCGATAGTTTCGATTCAACACCAAATTAGTGTTTGACTGAAATTAGTGTGATCATAACATACAAAGAATCGATCGATAGTTTTGGCGAATAAATCAGCACAAAAGTCCCAATTTTGGGTACAAAGGACAATATTATTTGCTAACGTTAGCTATAATCTACAAGTGTGCATCATCTCCATCTTCCCATTCGTCGTCTACGTCGTCGTCGTCTTCGGTCGTGTGGCCGTCGCGTTGCTGCACAAGTTGCTCTTGCTGTAGCTGGTTGGTTTCAAATGTGTCGACACTCTTCTGGAGCAAGTCCATCGACGACGTCATGAGGAACGAGATGAGTGCGTCCGGGCCTTGGTTGGCCAAACCGGAAAACAATCCCGTCGACTGGTCGGGAGCAAGCTTGGTCTTTTCCGCCCCCAGCCTCTGGCGTTCCTCAAGAACGAACTTGAACGTATCTTCCGGCGAGTCGAACGTGTCCGAGAACTTCATGAAGCGATCGACGGACGTCGACACGAGATGCTGCCACTGGTCGCCGCCAAGCGAGTTGTCTCGCATGAACAACGGCTTGTCCTTGCCCATAGACGATGGCAACCCATTGGGAGACGACAGCGGCAACGCACCAAATCCGGTGGGGGTCGCTGACTTGTCAAACAAGGGGTTGGTGCCGGACGTCGATGCGTTGGTTGCGGGGGATGTGTGAGAGAAGAGGGGATTGGCAGAAGGTAGCGGTGTAGGCACGGCTGGCGGTGGCGTGATTGCCGTGGCTCCTGGTGGCCGGAAGAGGAGCGAAGGAGGTGGGGGGGCAGGGATGGTTGTGGTGGAGTGGAGAGGTCGTTGGAACAGCAGTGATCCGCCAGAGGATGGCGGCTTTGTTGGAGACATCACTAGACGAGATGTGCTGCTTGGAGGTGCAAACAACGAAGATGCTGCTGGCGACGATTGTAGTGGCGGCGCCGGCTTTAGCACTTGAAATGACGCTGGAGGGGCCAGCATTGGCGGCAGCGACGACGACTTGGACCCAAAGTTGGAAGCGGTTGGGGCAAACAGCGGGTTCGGGCCATCGAAACACGGAGCAGGCGTCGCGTCGTCGATGGTCAACTGCACCATGGACGGCGTGAACCCAGGGTTGCTGGTCAATGACGCCGGGTTGAACGCGAGTTTGTCGTCCGAGTAGCACACGTTGATGAGAAACTTCCACACGACGTCTTCTTCGCTGCCAGGGACCAGCTGGATATTCGCTGGTTTCCGCGTGGGGTATGGCTCTGGTCGCGCGGCCTTGGTTGTGTCTTTTTTGGTAGAGGCTTTCCGAGGTGGCCCTTTGATTTTGGGTTTCTCTGCAAACACAATCTGGCTCAACGCGGCGGGATTGCCGCGCACAAAGCACGGATGTACATACGTTTCAGACAACGCCCCATCGCGTTCGAACCCGTGGTTCAGGAGCTGCTGGCGAAATGCCGTCAACTTTCCGCGGTAGTACTTGATAAGCACCCGCGAATTCAACAGGTCTTCGTCCCGGATGGTGAAGTGAGTGCCAGAAGGCTCCCAGCCAATGATGGATGCATCTTCTTCCTCAAGCATGCGGTACAGCTTCCGCACAAATCCAGTCGCGATCGACGATGCCATGTTGGTGGTGTCGTCAAGTTTCAGGAACTGGAAAGCGGGCATGTGGTGTCATTATCCGGAAAATGTGTTAAATTAAAATACGCTCAATGTTGCGCTCGACCAGCATTGGGTCGCATGTAATTTAATGTGGGATTCGTCCCAAGTGACCAGCATTCATTCGATTATCCGGATCAAAGCACCATGATCACCTTCACGTTTGTGAATGATGGTGATAGGTACCTTTGACCTTTGAGGTGTAGCCATATGAACAAACCATCCACGAATTCTGGGAGAAAGTAGTGCTTTAAGTTATAGTACATCCTAGTACACTGAACCCCGTCGCTTGTTCATCCAAAGTTGCTTCGTTATTGCTCACCAAACGATTCTGAGCCAAATGCTACTAGTACACATACCGTATTCAAGAAGGAATGGGTCAAAAAATGTCAAACTCCACCCATAAATACTGTACTAACTGTAAGTTAACGACCGTGCCTTGTTCACTTTCTACAAACACACGACAGCCGGGGTCGTCAAATCGGCCCAGCCATCCACGGCGAAGGTGCATGGGTCGCTACGAATAGCTGGGAGTTCAAACAGCGGGTTGGTTTGCATGGTGCACACCACTGAAAGCAGTTGCCACAGGTTGTCGTTGTTGTTGGAAGGATTGTCAGCACGTTGGTTGTGTCGTGTGGGTTGTTGTTGATGCAAATGGCACGACGGAACATTGCCCGATGATGAGTGTTTGGGTTGCACCAATCGTCGGCGCTTCATGGTCGAGGCGAGCGCTGTGGCGCTGCTGCGAGTGTACTCTGCGTGACGGAACGATTCCGAGTCATGCGATTGATGCGCCATCGAAAAGCCATGCGCCACAAGGTGCTTCCTGAACGTGGCGTATGTCATGTCTCCAGTTGATCGAAAGTAATGGGGCAAAATCGATGTGTTCATCGTGGTTGTGGACTTGACGGTAAACTGGGTGCCGCAAACATCCCAGGCCACAACAAGGGCGTTTTCGTGGCTCAGGATGCGGAACACTTTACGCAGGAATGTCACGTCGCTGGACGCAGTAGCAAGGGTGGTCATACTCGATGGAGAGTTTGAAAATGGCAATCATCTCGCACCAGACACGAGGACGTGGTGAATGTTGGCTATCGCACAATGATGGTCGCAGATATAACAACATCACGAATGTAGGTACCACTCGTGGCCAACTGTTTTGGATTTATATCCTTCGAAAAAATCTCAATACTTAATCCAAGATAGTAATATTCCATGAACACATATATTTTTTGTGGTCGGTCTATTTTGACGGCAATCTTGTTTGTGCCTCCATAAGAATTCACCTCAAAGTGAAAATTCTGGTGAAAGTTGAGAACTATCGAAAAAACTGTCAAGTCACAAGAGCATATTACTGTAACTCCGGAGTACTAGTAACGTTACACTGTAGTATACTTAGAGCATCCCCACCGGCTGATGTAAACATAGAGCTGAAAAGACCCGTTTATTGGGTGCGTGCTGTAACAGTAGTACATCACTTCACAGCCAATCCACACCGGTTGGCGGAAATAGTAGTCCTGATGGAGCAAATTCGTGTTGGACGCCCGCTGGCGATTGAGGTTTTGGAGCTCTCGCCAGTGGAGAATCTAGTGCAGCAGGTTGGCGTACATTCTATTGTCTGTAAGATTCATATTCATGCTGCCGGCGTGCTTCAGGACATCGGGATGGCATGCTTCGTTGAAGAAGTCCATTGGGACCTCAATCGCATAGAACTGTAAATGACCCAACAGATCTGTTGAGAAATCTGTGTTTATGGAGCGTTTACATCATGATGTAAAATTTATTGGCAACCGGTGTGGGGCTGAAAAATGTAAATTTTGCAGATGTAGTGATGTACTTTGAAGATTTTTACATTTCTACATCAGCCGGTGGGGATGCTCTTATACCATATTTATTTTTTATATATTACGTAATAGGACCGAGTATCTCAATCTCTTTCATGTCCTACAGTATTACTACGTAGTAATTATATGAAGTCGTGAAGCTGACCAAAGGGTATGCTTCTGACTCGACTTCTCCACACATGAAAGGAGTCACACACTACAGGAGCGACCAAGTGCACAGGTACTGTACAGTACTGTACGTCGTGAATCCCATCTATTGACTCTACTCCGTCTATAAGAACTGCTCATAGGATAAATATTGCAAGTCTTATAATGGAGTGTGTGCACACACACACATCCATTCTGTGGCTATAAACCTGGTGGTAAATATTAAATTATATAGTAGTCGAAAACTTATATAAACACTAGAGCACTACAACTAGAGGGCGGCACAGGCATGATGGCCTGCCACTTGGAGCGACGATCGATCATACGGGGACAAAGTGAAATTCACACGATGGATCAAGGGGTACTAGCCCCTCGATAGCTCCATCATGATGTGGACCATCACCGTCAACACCAATAAACGTCATGATATCTTTCAGCAGCAACATGGATGGATTGGACTGACACCACGTGAGCCACGACGACGATGTACAAGGGGTTGGTTCACAGTGAACAACTTCCTTCGCGTCTTTGTGGGTGGCGTCAGTCAAGTCCACCATGTTGCGATGATCGAATGCAGCGCAATAGGGCTGAATACACACATCGCTGAAAATTACCTTGGCCGATCGTGTGGGGTTGTTGCTGGCTTGGAGACCCTCGCGGGGTTCAGCGCCTCTGCCGCCTTGAAAGTGGCAACTAGGAGCTTCTAACGAGTTCGAAGTCTCGTCCTTGGGCGCCAAGAGTTGACACAGCAGTGGCCAGTCTTCATCTGGTAGGATATCGGTCATCACCACAGATTCCGCAGCGCACATCACGAACTCACCCATCAACACATCCATGTCTTCGGCGTTCTGGGGCCACGCCAGGTCTGGGGTGACGACATCTTCTTCTGGTACCCTATAGAGTGCGTCGATGACTTGGTAGTCTCGGAATTGCGCACGCCGCCGCAGTTCGTAGTCACCCGTCACGCTGGTTGACTTGAGGTCCTTCGCGTGCCTGCTACACAAACCGCTGGAGCGGCCAAGGCTGTTGCAACCAGGAATGATACAGACATCGCGAGCGCCGTGGCTCACGCACACACCTCGTTTGTTGACCTGATTGCAACAGCCCGAGTAGCGGCATATACCTTTCTTCTTGTGGCGCAGACACTTGATGGAGCCTGGGCAGACAGGTTCGCCGCAGCCTTTGAAGAAGCACGGAGATGGCGGCGACGGCATACCCTCAAGGAGCAATTTCCTGGAATGGCATATGTTTGCATCGACCACGGGTCCCAAGCTGTGATTGGTGGCAGAGTGAGTGATGGTCTGGACGACATTGGACACTTGACATTTGACATCCCAGGTCGCCGCCATGTGTGCAATCAAGCACAAGCGGCTCTACTAAGACGAAATTTGAGGGGCTTAACGATGCCTACACGACGTATCGACCCAGACGGGCACAAGCGGCTCTACTAAGACGAAATTTGAGGGGCTTAACGATGCCTACACGCGACGTATCGACCCAGACGGGCTACCTTTACAGTATTCCTCCTTCTAGGGGCGAGAAAAGGGCATCACTTTTTCGTGTTGGGTCCATTTCTTGGTCGTGTTGTCGATGGCCGAAAGCGGTGTCGACGTGTCAGAGGATGGGGCTGATGTTCCCTCACCACTGTTTATTGTGCGTGAGCACGACATTTCTCGTCTTGGAGTGGAATGTTGCGATAACGTTATCTTGGAAACCTTAATCTCACAACGACACGGTCGCGGGTATTCCGCTGTACTTGGTGACATGGACGATCTCTTTGCCGACATTGGCATGCGTCCTGTATTTGCCTGTACGCGACGCCCACAGCTATACAATCAAGGGCCTGCACTACGATACGTTTTTGTGCCAAAAGATGGGCATGGAATGGGAGCTACATACAATACAAGGACAGACAGTGTCCGAGGCATCGTCAACGACGAAGTCCATTTTCTTGGTCGTTGCACATGCAGTACATCGCTGTCAATTCCTTGTTTTCTGACCTCCAGCAAGCAAGGGCATGAATTGGCTGCATCACGCCAAGGCCGCCGCAATGGACGTCGTGCATGGCTCAAGCTCAGTGCAATAGACGACCCCGTCAAACAGCTTCAAACAACGGTGAGATCCTTTACTCATGACCCCGTCATCACCACTCACGTCTGTTGTCCAACTCCAAGAATTGGCCACCGTCGAGCGCGTCCTCGAGACTGTCGACAACCGCACCCACGGCCCATGGCGATCGTAGCCAGTTACCCCTTTCGCATGGCAATAATTCGTTGTCATCGCCACGGCACCCTTTGACCTGCTGACGACTCTTGATAATTGCTCTTGTACGCACCTATCAAAGTGCGCATTGCTTCTGACTGATCGGAAGTCGCGCTTGCGGATTTGTCGTGCATAAACCCTTTATGCAGCACGTCAAGAACGCCGCAATGTACGTCCTGCACGAGCTGATCCGTGCCAAGGACAACCTGAACGAATCCTTGAAACAAGGGTGATACATCAGTGTACCCTCAACTCACGACCTCAGTCGTCACCTCTCACGTCTGTTGTCCACGGATGACCTATCGACTCATCTACGCGCTGCATCAAGCGCCGTCCCCGGACTCTTGGAAACTGACGTCTGCGGCCAAATTGATGTGGCCATTGCCCAGCGCGACAGTCTGGTCTCTGAATGTCAACAAACCCAAGGAGAACTCAGGGGACAGGGATGGAGAGGATGCGTTTTGTGCGACGGACGTCCTTCGCACATCCCTCGTCGCCCAGGTGAGATCCTCTACTCATCACCTCTGACGTCCGTTGTTGAAGGTAGACGCACCACCTCCTCGAGCCACTGCTGCAAGTACTGTCCGCGCACTCTTGGCAACGGACAATTTGGCACACCTCTGGATCGTATTAAGTGCAAACCACCGACAGCCTCAACAACGTGCTCGAAGAAAGTGTCAACATTGGTGGCGTGGCCACAATCGACGCCATGGTTGTTGTCGTGGAGCGCGTGCTCGACACGCTAGGGCAACAACAAACATGGCGACGACTCATTGCTCGAGTTGACCCCCCCCGACTGACGACGTTTCTGGCCTGCACAGTGAAGCCTGTAGTCCTTTTGGTATTGGGTGGACCTTTGCGATCTCAGCACCCTCGTTCCTTCATCTCCCTGTGAAGTGGACATGGTAATATCTTCGCATACCCTTTGGTGACATAGACGACAGTATGGCGAACATTATTATATATGGCAGGGTGGACATGAACTATCGTCAAGCACCCAGGGGCAACTTTGAACTAGCACATCAGGGCATCGACGTTGTACTAGTTTAGCTTGAAGTGTTTTTGTACTTGGACCAGATCTGAACCCGTGATAATATTATTTTAATAGTATTAGTACTCAGGAAAGTACTCGTTGCGCAGGGGTCCAAGCTACATACTTCCATGGTCCCTTCGAAGCGCCATGCGTAAAAAATATGCTGCTTCCATCGCCGTGGGTCGGTTCACTGGGTCGTTCTCGAGGCACTTGCTTGCAAACTCGACAAACCATGGCGCGGCATCTGGTCGGAACGACGGCCGCAATGTCCCCCGCATCACTTGTGCGATGATGGCCGTGTCTGAGAGGGCGGCGCCGTTGGCATTCATCCTGTCCGCGTACGGAATCTGATGCGTGTCGAGCTCCGTGAGGATGATCCCGAACGAGAACATGTCTGCCGACGTCGTGTAGTGTCCGTCCACGAGCACCTCCGGCGCCATCCACCGGTACGTGCCGACCCCCTGCGTCAACGTTTCCTGGTCGAATGCTGCCTCCCGCGACACTCCAAAGTCGGTCACCTTGGCGCCCTTGATCGGGTCCATGAGCACATTCCGGGACTTCAAGTCGCGATGGAGGACCTTGGGCTCCATCACGTGCAGGTACGCGAGGGCGTCTGCGATACGGATCGCACACTCGAGCTTTTGACTGGTCGGGAACGACACGTCGTCCGACTCTTGGAGGACCGTACGGAGGTCGCCGCCGGCCATGAACTCGGTCACGAGCTGTAGATCCACGAGCCGATGGTATGTCACGCCCACGAATTGCACGATCGCGTTGCAGTCCATCCTACAGTGTTTCCCAACTTCGTGACTCTATCCTCCACATTGAAGTGCCATGGCAGCTTGCCATGTCATATCCATGATTTCGTAGTACAACGTGGACAAGATCGAACTAACACGTACTTGGCCACGAGTTTGATTTCGTCGATAAAGAGACGAATGTCGGCCATCGCACTCTTGTGTTTGTGTAGAACTTTCACAGCCACGGCGTCGCCACAGTACGATGCACGCCACACTTGGCCGAACGCGCCTTCGGCTAGCCGATGCTCCATGACAATCTCGGCCGGAGGGATCCGCCACAAACTGAGCAAGTCCAAGTCGTCTTCGCCGTCGGGAACATGCATGCTGGCGTCCGTCGAGGCAGTGCCACCACGCGCGGTAGAGGATGCTTGTTTGACTAACCCATGCTTGCTTGCGTCGTTGTGGTGGAGTTCTCGGAAATAATCATCGCCTGGATTGTCGCGATTGACCACGCGCAGCCGCCACACAATGAATAGTCCTAACAACCCGACTACAACGATGGCTACGATGACGACGATGGCCACGGACGAGGTGGAACTGACTCCGATGGCCACCAGCGGCGCGGAGGTGATTGAAGTTGGGGAGAGGAGTGGAGACGTGGAATCTGTCGCGGAGCTACCAGTTGACGGGATCGATGAGGCAGGAAGCGGGGTCGGGTCAAAGGGGCGCGTGGGCCCTGGAGGTGGCTTGGATTCCTCGGCTGTGCAGTTGACTTTGCCTGGTGGCACGATTGTGTTGGTGCTGACGTCTGTGATGGGGCAATTGATGTTGTCGTTCGTGACAAACCTCGCGACGATCAAGTACGCCCACCAGCAGCCTGGGTTTTGACACTCAACATTGCGAACAGACATGTCGACTTTGAACTTGTCGAGCATTGTCAATGTCGCGTCAGGACACCCATTGTAGTACGTCTTGGGGTCACGAAACTCTTTCATGAGGCCATCCATGCCCGCTCGACACGTGCTGGTATCGGCCATCGTCGCTGCCGCCGCCGCCGCCGTTTCAGAGTGAACGTGCTGGCTACAAGGTCTCACTCTCTGGTACTTGTGAGAGCAAGAGAGTACGTTCACAATGTGGGAAGCTATCCATCAATAAGAGAGTGAGTTCTCGTATCAAGTAACATGGCATAAAATCACCGACTCTAACAGTAAGTACCGAATCGATACTATTAGTCTGATAATTTTGTGTACTACCAGTAGTACTAGCGCCGATTAGAATGAGAATTGTTCTGAGATCTTTGGGACAGTATAAGTTAATCTGGTGAAAAATGACTCATGTTGAAATTTTGCATCTCTTTAGCGAGGATATCAACATTGCTCCGGTAGCTTGCTTGTCCTATGACTTTCTACTAGTATGTAGTAGTACTACCCGTACTGTAGTATTAGTACTACGTAGTATTAATACTACTGTACTTGAGTATTATTAATAGTAGTACTGAGTAACTGTTTATTGCTACTACAGTATTATTAATAGTAGCATTTACTAGGTACTACTTCCAAGTACTGTACTACAACTAGTACTGTAGTACCCTGTAGTATATATAGTATTCCTGCAAAAATTATTACTGTGGTAAATGTACTAACGTTAGTATTAATTTAATAAGTCCTCCTCACAGCTGTCGACCACTGTTAGTACTTACAGTGTACCGAAAGTACTCAATATTCTGTACAGTAAGTTCGCGACAACACTTCGTCCCCAAGATGTACAGACGCAGTCAAGTCCTAAAACTGAAGTAGTTTTCCTAACGTTAATGGAAAATCACATTTACAGTGTTAGGTGGGCGTCGGCACGGTATATAGAATCTGCGTGCAAATCAACACGGATTTGCTGCTAATTGCGTTTGAGTTTCGACGACATTGACGTGGATGCTTTTGCAGCAGACACCTTGATGCCGCCTCTAGCTGCTGGTGGCAAGGGGGCTTTGAGATGTTGCGTTAACCGAATGGATGGGGCCAAGGCATCCTCGTGGACATTGCTGGGCGTTGTCGCTACGAGGTCGTGGGTCGCTTGGTTACCGAGTTGGGCTGCGACAGAGTCGAGTTCCACAGCCTAGTTCCATGTCATTTTTGCATGTCATTATGGGAATGGTCGTAACCTTGGACAGCATGCGGCGAACAAATTGCAGCTGGAGACGCGCATCCGTCGTGTCTAACGACTCTGCTTGAATGCACTACGCCAAAATCAAATGAGTCAATCAGCTCAATGCATACTCGTGGTGCAGATTGCTCACGAACATGATCTAACACCCGGCATGCCACCGACACCACGTCTTCACGTAGCGACGAACAGATGAGGTTGTTCTCATGACTGATTTTGTCGTCTCCAGCGAACTCTAAGGCATGCACACGTTGTTGGATGGCGTCTTGGATCGCTTCGCGGACATGGTCCGTGTCACTTCTACTGCCTCGGGGTCGCATCACCGTGAGCGTTTCAAATGGGGTTTCTGAGTTACGAGCTTCTTATTCAAAGTTCTCGATAACTGCGAGGAACCAAGCATGACCGATATGGCTGCCATGCACACGCTCCTTGATCTGACTGGTCATTGCTGGCGCACGCCGCCATCGACGTAACGTTATCAACTTGTCGAAGTTGATGCACGCGGCGGTGGCGACAAAGTTTCGAATGCCAGACATGAGGAATCTTGGTTGGTCGGATATTTTATCCGGATTGGGAGAACGTCAATAATTTGTTTTGGCGAATGATCTCTTGATTTATGTAGGCAAGGTGATGCAATTATAAAAATCCAAAAAAATAATCGAATGCCAAAAGATAATATAATTTGGGCGTTCCACTCTTCCCCACGGCAGTCACATCAATAGAGGGCAGAAGCATCATGGCCGACCAAGTTCCGCGGCGCCAGAGTCCATCCATAGGCATCCACAGGGAACTACCGAGTGGGCAACAGTCGCAGCACAACAATCCACAGCGACGTATGTCCGACCACGTGTATCCCAATCATCATGCTGGTCGACGAAGCTTAGACGAGAATAGTGCCAACAGCTTGGACGTGGACATGGGGTACGGAAGCGACGGCGGCAGCAACGGTCAGCAACACAGACATCATCCAGTACCCGTGAACTTGCAACAGCATGTCGGCCGTCTGCCATTCTCCCTCCTCGCTCCTCCTCCACTATCGTTATCGTCCGAGGGAGCGTCATCCCACTCGTTGCCCAACATGCATCGATCTCCATCCGAGCAGCGGCTCCCCGCACAACAACACAACAGCTTCAAGCTGGACCCGGTCACGAATGGCAACCTGAACCTGAACCTCAGCATGAACATGGATATGTACGCGATGAATGTCGTGGAGGAAGGCCGGCGTGTAGTCCGCGCGTTCCTCCAGTCGGCGAAATGCTACGACGTGATCAAGAACAGCGGCAAGGTGGTCGTGTTCGACGTCAAGATCCCCGTGAACTTGGCCTTCTTTGCCCTCGTGGAGCACCACATCAAGTCGGTGCCGCTGTGGGACGCCGACGCAGGGCGGTTCGTGGGTATGTTCACCGCCACGGACTTTGTCAACATCCTGCGGCACTTCTACCCGCGCGGGTCCATGGCGGCCGTCGCCGATCACAGCATCGCGTCGTGGAAACACATGAGTGCGGCGCTACACCTGTCGCCACCCGAGTTCGATTCTTCGCAGATGATCTACATCTCGCCGGAAGCGAGCCTCTTTGACGCGTGCGTATCCCTCCAGCGTCATCGGCTGCATCGACTCGCCATCCTCGATACTGCGCAGAACTCGGTGCTGTCCATCGTCACCCACGCTGGTACACCTCTTTCTCTCTCTCTCTCTGTCGGCACCCCGTCACGTGAACTGTATCGCATAGGCATTTTGGAGTACTTGGTGTCGACGTTTCGAGAACAGCGGCGACTGTTTGACCAGAGCATTGCCGACCTTGGCATTGGCACGTTTACAAACCTTGTCACAGTTCCCGAAGATATGCCGCTAATTCACGTCTTGCATGCCCTCATGGAGCGGCGGATATCTGCCGTGCCGATTGTCGACGCGACCGGCGCCGTCATGTACCTCTACTCGGTCTCGGACGTAACGGTATGCCATGCTGGGTGTCTGTGGACCTACTCACTCGATTCGAACGTGTCTTGTGTTGCTGATTCATACACTTTACCAGGAACTGGTAAAGGACCGAGCGTTGTCGCAGCTGGATGCGCCAGTGGGGGAGATTCTACGGGTGCAAATGGCCGAGGTATTCGTTTTTTTTTTTTTTTTAATATTTTTTGTTTATTTCTGCGACAATGTAGGGCGTGCTGGGAGACAATTTGCACTTTTGCTCGACGCAAGACACGCTGCACATGATGTTTGAAAAGTTTGCGGCCACGAAAGCCCACCACTTGGTCTGTGCCGACGAAAGCAATCGCTGTGTCGGGATTGTCGCGCTCAGTGACTTGTTCAACTACTTTCTCCAATAGTAATCCAACTCACACAAATACTAGTTAGTACCTGATCATGGATGACCTAAACACCTCTCGACATGCGGAAACCAGTGCTAGGACGCACATACAACTAGCTCTACACAGTCTGCAATTTTGTGGTGACGAAGCCCCCCCCCCCCGAGAGACGTACTGGGCAATGCTGTATATGCAAGGGTGGTGATGATTGCTTAACTACTAATCTTAACGTTACCGGTAGTATCGAGTTGGAAACAGCAAATACTGTATGTACAGTAAGTACAGTAGTACCATAAGTAGTACAGTAAGTACTTCAAGTAATTTACGAAATATATTTGTACCTTTTGTCAGAACTAAGTTCGAAGTACTATTGTGCTTTCGAGTGAAATTTCTTGTTGTGGCGTGGTTTCTCGTTGGTATTTAAATCGATTTGATTGGCTACCTCAGATGAGCTCAACATTATTAGCCAATCAAAACCTTCCCAATGAAATTCAACCAATCAGATCGATTGTGGATTGGTTTGGTCGGCGCGATTCGATTGTCCCCAAATTTGTATCAAATCGACAATATAAACCGTACTATTAATAGTAGTTCTATATGCTGTCTAACCACCTACTAGTAGTATGTAGTACTCTACAGTACTGTAGTACATGTAGTACGAACTCAAGGCCTCGATGCGTAGAAGTACAATTGGCACTACTTATGTTGACGTTGGAGTTAGCATGCAGATACTTCGAAGTAACTTTCTGTAACATTTACTCTTCCAACCCGTAGATTACGGTAATCTTGTTACTCCTAGTATGCTAGCCATTGAGATATAGATGGGAACTGCCGCGAACAATTACAATGAGCAACGCACTCCGTACATACTTGACATGGCTATTGATAAATAACGAGCGAATGCTGTCGATGCAGCGCATTTGTTGGCGGCGAATTGATTTCTGTGTCGTTCTGGAAGTCGGCGGCGTCCGTTTGGTGAATCATGCGCACTTGTCCTGTGGTGAGGTAGCGCATCTCGTTGTTGTGGTTGTTCGTATTTGGGGTGTCGGTCAAGGAAGAAGTTTCTAGCGGGGAAAGCAAGAAAAACGCTCGCAGTTTGGCGGGAATATCGCATGACTCCTCGAGGAGTCCTTGCGTAGAGATCATCAGGTTCTTCACAAACACGGACAGCTCGTCCATGCGACCCACGGCAAGACTTTCGCTGTGGAGGAGCTTGCGGCGTGGAAAGCCGTCGCTACGGTTGAGACCGAGTGAAACAACGTCGGAGCAGATCTCACACGAGTCCACGCGGCGTCGTGCGGTGGCGTGGCCATGGATGTCTTTCATGAGCTCGCGGAATTCCGAGTACCGCCGCGAGACGTAGGTTGTCCGACCGGCGCAGTCCACACGGAGGATGTACACAATAACGCGGTTGATCTCGCCGACGGCGACGACCTTGGCCGATACTGGGGAGATCGCATGCACCTTGTACACCATCGCTGCTTAGAGAATTGAGGAATACAGTACCAGTACCCATTCCGTTACAGTACATTGACGATGGAAATTTCCAGCGGATCAAACGGCACATGGCATACAAACTTCAAGTGATCAAGTGGTTCAACTTGTCGCACATGTCGCACATATGAGCGCCATCGATTGGCTAACATAGATTGTGGTTTGATTCGATTGGCTGAAAACAAAGAGAATTCCACGACATGGCGGAACACCCAAATGGAATGCAATTTTTTAGCAAATTGCCCTTCGTGATTGGCAAATAAGATATCGGTCCAAGTCGTGCCTGAAGGGATATACAGTACAGTAATATAAAAGAGACATGTAATAATAAAAATCAATGTCATCCTACATGCAGTATGACCTAGGACTATTTCAAAAACAATAATTTGTTTGTGTCAACACACAAAATAACACCGGTATGAGGTTATTTGTCACACACAAACTGTAAAAGCCCAGTTGGTGGGCTTTTCATCATTTACAGTTTGTGGGTATAGTATGAGAAGGATGAAGTTACAGTATATATATTCGTAGAAGGATTTGGCTAGAGTGACGCAAGGACGTGTGTTCAGATGAGATACATGTTTGCATCTGCCCAACGTCAAGTTGAGCTAAACGTACATGATTACCAAAGGGGGCTACAAACAACGTACATATTCCGTCGTTACATATTGTGCTTTTCAGTCGTATTTGCCTATTTAGAATAAAAAATTATAATTAAATTTTATATTAATTGTTATATTTCAAAGAAATCTAAACAATTCAATAGCATGAAGGTCTAAGATTACCACTTATTCTACACATATTTTATAAAATAACAATATAAAGATGGGGGATTGATGAAATTGCCAACTAATCGAGCACAGGAGTATGATTGGCTACAAAGAATTTGGGATGCAATTTGATTGGCTAAAAAGATTGATTTTGTAATATTGCAAGATACCTCTTCCACTTACAATGTTGGTTTTATATCAAATTTCGAAGGATCCGGACATGTTCGGCGGTTCATTCAACCAACCGCCGGAGGAAATTTTTAGTGACGTTAGAACACATAATAAAGTTACTTCTATCGCAAAAGGGGAGTGCATTTTTCGCATTGCACTACATGAGCGAGCACGCGTCGCTGGTGTTAGAGTTCCCCGACGGTTCGATGGGCTCTGGCGCTTGCACGGCATGCAAATCATCGTCATGAAACTCGCGCATGGAGGGGGGGTTCCGATCGGGGGACCGGGGGGGCGATCCGGGGCTGCTGCTACTGGAGAAGCGCTTGGACAGCGACAACCGCGCATGGGAGAGCCGGCCGTGCATTTTCATCTTGAGCTTCGTCATCAAGATGAAGTTGTTAATTGGCGTGAAGGCCAAGTCGATGTCTTCCACCGTCACTTCCACGAGTTGCGTCGGTGATGGCCGCTTCAGCACCGAGTGTTCGACGAGCCACGCGTGGTGCAAGATGTCACCAACCTGCGCCCACCAGTTGAGGCCATATAACTACTCTTTAATACTGAAAAGTACCGAAATACGAGACGTGGGGTTCTTGTCCAGCATCGCGAGCACCAGCTCCTGCAAGTCCGACGGGATGCTGCTTTCGCTTGGAAACACTAGCGGATCATCTCGAATCGAAGTGAGGATTCCTGGCACAGTTTCAGCATGCCCCCCGAACGGCACCGTGCCAAACAGCATGGCGTAGATGGTCACCCCCAGGGCCCAAATGTCCACTTTAAACGGATCGTACGGCTCGCCTACATGGTCAATTGGTACCCATTTGGATGCATAGACGAAAGGAGTACCAGTGGTGCACTCAGGGGCTAGGAAATGGTAGGTGCCTTCGGTGGACTTGAGCTGAAGGGCGTTGCTCGCGTTGTCTTCGGTAAACATGTACGCCACCCCAAAGTCCCCCAGTTTGTAAAAGCCCGTGTCGGTCACCAGCACATTCTTCAACATCATATAAATATATCGATAGTTCAAAGTGGAAACCCTGATGTTTTACCTCTGGTTTAATGTCGCGGTGGCAAATGTGATTTGCATGTACTGGGGTGGGTCAATGGACACGTGAGTTGTGTGAGAAGTACAACCAAGAGGCCTACAATGTTCGAGGGCCAACGCAATGTCGAGCAAGCAATTCTGCACCATCAAGAGGCGCGCCGCCTCTTCCATGCCTTCTTCAGGGTACGTGTACCGCAACGACTTTGCGTTAAACTCCATGATTTGGCCGCCGGAGAGCAGCTCCAAGATCAAAAACATCTTGTCGTCGTCGGGCGAGTCAATCACCTGGGGTAAGGTTATAGACAACTCGAACGAACAATGATGATAGTGATAGTTGGTAGCCAACCTCGTAGAGCTTGGTCAAGTGCGGATGACATAATTTTTTCATGATCGCGACTTCCTTTTGCACTTTCTTGGGATATAAATATATCAAGATGTGGGGAGCAATCATGAGTTACAGTAGTTTGAAGTTGGTGTCGTACCTGGAACGCATTGGTTTGTACCATTTTCCCGTCGACTTTTTTAAACTCCCGCTTGCGTTTTAAGAACGACTTGTTGAAGACTTTCATGGCCTAATATAGAAAATCAACACCAAAACCTCATCACGATCCAAGCCGCCACTCGAATCCATAGATAACAACAACACAAGTGGGGAAAATGTCGTACGAATTGTTTCGTAGCCTCGTCCTTGGTCCGCTCGACCAAATACACCTTGGCAAACGCGCCTTCGCCCAGTTGCTTGACCACGACGTAGTCGTTCACGCGATGCGGCGCCCCTGCGTCGTCGACCTTCACCGCCGCCACTTCCGTTTCCACGACTTGAATAGTTGCCGATGGCGTGCGAGCCAATTTCGGGCGGTCGTTCAGACTGAGCTTTCGTGTGGGAGATGCAGGTGGTGATGGCGTGGCCGGAGGTGGAAGGGGATGCGTTGATGCCTCCATGCTATGTCAAAGTACAGAGTAAATGGCCGTTACGAAGCGCTGCAGCGTTGTGTGGTGATGCAGTGCCGTTTCATCCCCCCCATTTACTTGGTGCCACGTAAAATCTATATTTAGGCCACCAGGGACCATTTTAAAAAATCGTGGCTCAACACGTTGTTTTCGCTGAAATCTTTGGATCAAGACCGAACCCTTGATCGACTTATAATTCACATGGAGATGCGGGAACTGGACGAAAACTCATCAAAACACAAAGTTATGTAAGGCCAAAATCGAGGCATTTCTGGGTGGCGAAAGCAAATTCTGGAGTTTCTTCGGAGTCATCCAACTTATTGGAGAGGGACTTTGGCTGCTGTACTGATACTGTAGTGCTTATATATTCAGAAAAATCGCCCCGTTTTACATTGAAAACTGAGCAGTTCCGGATACTGCATTACATTTGCGGATGATATATTTTTATTGCACATGTGCATGTTGTTTGTGGTCATGTCGACATGCGCATATATCGAAAATGGACGAACTTCGATATCGCTTTTCTCGAACTGTGTGATACTTAGCGCAATCCTTCTGATACTACAAGATAGCCCATTACTAGCCCAGCCTATGCAGCATGGTCTACGCATGCACAGCTCGCTCTGGCATAAGGCATCTTACCCGCATGTACACGCTTGTTCTTGAAATACGACGAATTTGGCAAGTTCGAAGTAGTATTTCTCTACAGTTACGTATTGATATAGGCGACATGCAATAAGTTGTTCTTAATAGTATTGGTTGTTGTTATGAGGAGTGGCGAGTTTCGTTACCCGTTGTGCAGTATGCATTGAGAAATCGCTGACCTGCATCGCGCCTTATGTATAGATCGTTGTGCAAACCGTAAATAATTATGGGGATGAATAAAAATACGCATACTTAATACAAATATCAGCATAAAGATGTTCAAGCGAATAATAATTTGTAACTGTAGCTCGCATGTACGCCGTTTTGTTTCCGTGGAAGTGGCAGATTCAGTTGCTGGTTGACTCGAACGTGACAACTTGAATAATGCTGCATGCATCCCCTCGACAATGGTGCACCATGATTTGAAGGAATCAAGGACCTTTAGTGATGTGTTTGTGTCCTGTTCCCGCGTCTCCCATCAAAAGCCATTGTTCACAGTTGTCACGGAATACTCCTTGCTGATTGGCTGCAAATATTTCGACATGTCAAGGACCGCCATTCCGCCCTCAGGAAGTACCTACATTCTGTGATTTGTCGACCTTCGCGAAGTCGGATCCATTCACGTGTGTCATTTTTCAAGTCTTCTTCGTCCAAGCACGTCCACGCCCCTACCGCCATGGCTCGCTCTCGTTCATCTGCCTCCTCGCCTCGCCGATCGGTCCCAGCTGCCAAACCAGCAGCAGCACCTGCAGTCCAACAATCTGCCCCTGCGCCTGCTCAGGTTCAATCAGGGGGTGGCCTGGGTTCAGGACTTCTTAGCACAGTCGCCGAGGGCATGGCGTTCGGAACCGGCAGTGCGATGGCCCATCGTGCAGTTGGTGCTATCGCCAACTCGATTGGGGGTAGCAACGACAAAACGCCAGCCACAACCACTACGACGACTGCGACGGCACCAACAGCAGCCTCATCATTGTCTCCCCCTGAATCCAATTCGTGCTTTAACGACCACAAAGCGTTCTTGGATTGCTTGCAAACTAACAAGAACGACGTCGCAAGCTGCCAGTTCTATTTTGACCAATTCAATATGTGCAAGTCTCAAACGACCTTTTGAGCCTTGCCCTAGAGACTGCCGGAGTCGGTAAACTTTCATTCTTGCTACGCTGTAATACATGCGCCGCATAAATCATTCGTAACTACAGTGTACTCTTCAAGATTTTCTCGTAATTTTGATTGCTGGAGGCGCACTCGATCGTCGTCTAACATTGGCCGTCGCTAATTTAAACTGCAATGTAGTATACCAAAAGTTAGTCAGCCAGAGAAACTTTATACACTGATCCATGGATTTATAAGCTTCCGTTCTCTAGCTTGGAAAGTACCATCATTTCACCTAAAGACCATCATTCCAGTATGTTTCGGCAAGCATCCCGAAGGACACATCACCACGTGAGAGATTCACCACAAATGCTCTACCAATCAGATTGCAGTATTTTGGATTCTTCTGGAAAAGGCTATTATTATAGCCAATCACATGCAAGCAATGGACCTGACCCCACTCCGCTCATTTCTCCATTCAGCAGAAACCACTCACATCACCATGGCCCGCTCCCGCTCGTCGTCCTCTCCTCGCCGCTCGGCCCCCGCCGCCAAGCCTGCTGCCAGACCCGCGCCTGCTCCTGCACCTGTGCACGCTGCGCCTGCGCCTGCTCCCATGCAACAACAAAGCGGTGGTATGATGTCCGGTTTGTTGGGCACGGTTGCGTCCGGCATGGCCTTTGGTACCGGTAGCGCGATTGCCCACCGTGCTGTGGGTGCTGTCGCCAACTCGTTTGGCGGAAGCAGCGACGAAGCTCACCACGAAACCCCTGCCGCAGTCCCAGCTGCTGCTGCGCCTGCCCAAAACGCTTGCTCGAACGACCACAAGGCCTTCATGGACTGCTTGAACGCCAACCAAAACAACGTCTCGAGCTGCCAATACTACTTTGACCAGTACAACCGCTGCAACAACAATGGCCAATCTTCCTTCTCGGCCAACTAAGCACGAAATATTAAACCTGTCTCCCATCAAAGTCCCTTACGTTGTTGTTTGATAATACTGGTATGCTTCATGACAAAAGGAAGTCAACATCCCACACATTAGCGTTGCCATATACTAGTATAGGTGTCACATCATCAGTGAACAGTTCTGAACGTACACATACCATTATCTTGATGCATTGGATGCGCGTAAAAAATATGAGGTCCAAAACCTGCGCAATCACCCAGGAGGGTGCGGGAAATGACCAAAACAGCGAGCCTCAGATGAATTGGCAGCATACCAAGCAGCTCGATCGTCCAAGCTCTTATCATTCCTGATAGCTCACTAGGTGCTGAGGACTTTGGATTGGCCTTTCGACAAGGCGCAACAACCTGGAACGCATGGTGTACATATTTAGCTCAAAACTGTTCGGTAAATTTAATGGACTTGACAATGAATTGTAATAAATTTTAAAAACCAATAAACATATAATAATAGTATTGCCTCAAATATGACTTGACAATGAAGCCATAATTTGTCATCAACTTTGTTAACTCAGAAAGTACATGACTTTGACATCGAATATCTCTCTGACGGCTTATCTACGAGTGGATTAAGGAATGTACATATTGCAAACTTAATTGCAGGCTATCGCTCAAACCTAGAAATATGGCGATTACAATATTGTAGCGAGCGTGATGAGTCCTCAAAGTAGCAAAAAAACGTACTACTGTAGTAAGTAAATAACTCGATGAATATAGCTCGTAGCTGCCTCTATAATACGTCATTAAGTAGACTGTGAACGCGCGGATTGAGTCTCGGGCTCGCCAATTTACATTGGCTCATTTTGTGCGACTTTGAAAGTGGCTGCCTCAAATATAACATCCAAGTTGACCAGCTTTGTTAGCTATCTTTGCTTCCAAATATAACATCACCTACATCGTTTTGATGTGTTGTTTTTTAACTGTTAAAAATTATATTCGCGCCAAGATAAAATTTCTTGTTTCGAAGAAAAGTGCGCCAACTTTGACGACCAAATCACCAGCGAAGGTGCGACGGTTTCTGTCAACCAGGTGAAGTAAGAATTAATCTGATCGTGTAGCATTGCGAGTATAGGCATCAGCTCCATCGAGTTCGTTCTAATATGACCATTTACAGGTATTTCCCTCACCCTCTAGTATTACTCATCCGGAGAACACCTAATCAAGACGTGGCAACGAGCTCTGCACACTTGGACGAGCGAAATTCCACCCAATAAGTATCGATCAGGTTTTCCAGTAATCGTGGGCGTTTTGGTGGGCCCTTGCGGCCTACGAGTGGGCACACTGGGGGAGAGGATCGTGGCGTTATACTTGGCATTTGTATGGATGTGGTCCCTCGTGTATACTTACACTGCCAAGGGTTGTGATGGGAAAATTCAATACCCATAGTCCTGCTTTTGGCTTCTACGGATACATATCGATACATTTCGTTGTGTCAACCAAAACAGGTTATTGTAGACGAAACTTAAACTTGGAACCTGATGCAGCGGCGGACGTGGAGCCGATGCGGGAGCCGTTGGACCTTGTGCGACTACGGGCGTATTCTTGGTCTACTTTTCATGCCGATGGATATACTATGAGCGCCCCCGGTTGGCTAAAATACTCTTAACATTCTAGCCATACACATTCGTCGTCAGCACATTTGGCCGACGACAGGGCTACTAAAAGTAATTTCATATCAAAGTCCTACTACTAATCCACAGAGTACTTTAATTATCGAGTCTCTGTTACATGATCCGGCAGTCCTTTTGCTTCTTGCCATCGTTGGTTTTGGAGCTCTGTCGCTGAAAAAACTTGTCGGTCAAGCTACGTCCACGCTTCGGGGGACTCCGGGGGATGGACGCCTCCGCATTGTCGTTGCATGCCGACGACGTCGGTCGACTCAAGTCTTCGTGCACCACATTATCACCCATTCCTTGGCCAGCTTCTGGCTCGAACAACGTCAGAGGTGGCGGGGCCGACACCGGCACGAATGACGCCGGAGGACTCCGTGGAAGGGAATTGTTGTCTTCGGAGCTGGAATTCTTGCGGTCGCCGATGGAGCTTCGGATGCCGCGCAGTTTAGCGCCAAACTTCATCTTGATTTTCACCTAACACAAACGTACACCGCGCGAGTGTTCAGTGGCAATCGATGTCGCGTTTGACCAGCTATTTCTATGTGTTGGATGACCATTATCACGTACAAATGTGCATTTCGGCGTACAACTTGTATACACACATATATATATATATATTGTCAAGTCGATTCGATAAATTGGAGTGGTGGGATGCTTGCTCAATTGAGCAGCACCAAATAAATCGGCAGACAATCGATCGACCAATCCAAACCCAAATCACGAATCAAGTAGCCAATCAAATCCACTCTTCGACCAATTTAACATCAAATTGTGGAGTGAATGAAATTAGTGTGACACTGGACGATGGTTCAATACAAACGTCAATCAGTACAAAGAATCGATCGATATAGATTTGGCAAAGAATCAGCACCAAAGAGTCCAAATTTGGGGTAAAAGAAAAACAATATATATATATACACGTGACAATGATCAACAACCACCACACTGTATACCATGAGCATGAGGTTGTTGACGGGCGTGAACGCCAGGTCAATGTCGGATTCCGAGATGGACACGACCGACAGCCGCATCGCGAGCGCGGCGCTCTCTTCGTCTTGCTCGAGCAGCGCTTGCTTGGCACGTTGGAGCCACGGGTGGTTCTTCAACTCCGCCAACGTGATGCGGGTCTCGGGGTCTTTGTCCATGAGGCGGCGCAGGACGTCGAGGCAGTCGTCGTCGACGTCGGGGGTCGGGATCTCGAGGGCGTCTTCGCGGATACATTGCATGATGGCCAAAGCCCCGCCAGTCATTTTCTCCCGCGAGTGGGCAAACGGTAGGCGGCGGAACAGCATCGCATACGCCGTCACCCCCAGCGCCCACACGTCCACTTTGAACGGATCGTACGCCTTCCCGACCGTGCATTCCGGGGCCAAGTAGTGGTATGTGCCTTCGGTATTTTTCAGCTCGTTCGCGTCGTCGTCGGCAAACATGTGCGCGACTCCAAAGTCGCTCAGTTTGTAATGGTCGTTCGATCTAAGAACGTTCTACGAATGTTCTGGCATAAGACGACCACGTCGTTGTGTGTTGCCGTTGCTTACCTCGGGTTTGATGTCACGATGGCATATTTGATTGGCATGGACTAGGAATAGGTCGAGTGGTTAGAAGAACTTCACAGAGATAGTGCAAGAGAAAACGCACGGTATTCCAAGGCCAACGCAATGTCTAACACACACGTTTGTACGACCGAGACCGGCGCCGGTTTGTCTTCGCCTAAGTACTTGTACACCATGGCTTGTTGGTCCCAGTCCATCACTTGGCCGCCCGTGACCAGTTCCAAGACCAAGTACATCTTGTCGTGCTCGGCGTCGTCGATGACTTCGTGCAGTTTGGTCAAGTTCGGGTGACGCAGTTTCTTCATGATTGCCACCTCCTTGACGACTTTGTGGAACGCGTTCGAATGGACGGGCCGGCCGTCGACCATTTTGATCTCGCGCTTGCGTTTCAAGAACGATTTGTTGAGGATCTTCAGCGCCTGTGCAATTACGACAGAAGAAATGTGAGATCGCCGGCGATGGGAGGATGTTGATATATGTGTGGATGTGTACGTAGTTGGTGCGGAGAAAGTCGACGGTCGTGTGACACAGGTACACCTTGGAGAACGCGCCTTCGCCCAAGAACGACCCAACCTTGTACTCGTTCACTTGGCTGGGCACTCCATCGTCGTTCTCCTCCACTTGCGCGACGTCCGTCTGCTTCACTTCCTCGTCCGCCGTGGCCATCGCTCCAGTTGCTTGCTTCTCCACCTTGTTGCAGGCACGAAAAATGCCATTCGTCAGACTTGGCTCGAGTTCTGGCACCAGCTGGCTCGACATTTATCCGGATCGTGACATAGCTTGACAGAACGATCCTGATTTAGGATTTAGGGTACAGTACTAATCATAGATGTACGAGTAAAATTTGTGAGCGACATTGCACTAACACACCTACAATACACTATGGCTTCACGTTATAAAGTGACGATAACTAGATGCAGCTTTAGACAATTAAAAGTGCGGCGTCTAGTGCATCAAGTCTGCAGAAGGAGCGACGAGCAACCTCAAATTATTCGTTACTCATATCGTCAATACTCGTACGAGCGTTTCATGGTCAAAGATACTTCTATTTTGAACGGGATGATTAACAGTCGATTGAAATTAGGATACGTCCTAGTTTGAAACTTTGTTCACTCCGACGGGTACCAAGACTATCCGGATGATAGTGACAGGGTGATGCTTGACAGTACTGTGTACTATGGTGCGCGTCATGTGAAGCTAAAATGGTTCACTGTCACACACCCATATCGTGTGACCATTTTAGCCGGACAAGGCCTGTGGTACAACTATTCGCATTTAATGCGTAAATTTGGTTAAGTGCGTGTCCGAAGCACATATCCAGCAAATATTTGTCCGAGTCGTTATGGTCTGGTGTTCGAGGTCATGTTTATATTTTAGAGGTTGGTACACCAAATATCAGAGGTTTTGGTAAAATTACCTGTGAAAGTACATGCTCTACCGGATACAGAAGGCATTATCCGGCATAGCATAGCTTATCCGGGTATGAGTACAATTATCCGGTCATATTTGGTACCTTGTTTGGCTGCCATATTTTTGCCGCGATTGGCTTCTATTAGTCGATTCGGCTTGCGCTACCTGGTAAACTATCGATTTATAGTGCTACATTTCACTCAAATTTAGTCATTGGGGGCTCCGCATACTCTTTTGCTACCTCTCGCAAATGAGACACATCTCTCGATTAAGAATACCAATTCTACTAATAGGATGGAGTCGGAGTGTTTTGATTGGACAAAGTCGCTAGAAAAACAATTATTTCATGCGAAAAAAATAGAAATTGTCACGTGCTTGCCAGGCCAAACGACGAGAGATGGGATGCTGCGGAAGCAAGCCTCCAGTGGACAAGGACAACCAGTACGTAGACATACAACAGGTAGATGACATCTCAGAGTGATGCTAATAGAGATGCATACAGAGAGCACCACCAGGAGTACCTGTATAAGGAGCGCGATCCATCCGTGAACACGAAGCGACAGCGAGCCGCGGAAGCTGCAGAGCGGCGTGAACAAGACTTTCGTCAAGGTGGGGCTGGCGAAACAAGCAAGACGAAGGCACTTGCTTTGCGACGTGAGAAGGACGAGTTGGTGGGCAAAATCATGGAAGTGTATGTGTCGTTGAAGGAGGACCCACCGATTGGATTGAACGCGTGCGATGTGGACCAGCTCAAGGATCATCTTGTGAAGATCAAGAAGAAGAAGGAAGGGAGACGAAAGGCGTCCGTTTGAGACCTCTCCATGGCATCTCCATCCAGCTGGCTTCTGGACCCTAGCCATCGCTGTTAAGGGTGCAATGCAATATGGCATGTATTATTAATCAATGCTTTGGTAACTTCGAGTGCGCTGCTTGCGAACTTTTCGCGCGACAAACAATGCTACGACGAGTACCAGCCCAAACACAGTCACCATGACGAAAGTGTCGGTGCTGGGAGGTCCAAAGCGTCGGTTGGTTGCATCGAGCGCCAGGGGCTTGTCATCTCCAGCGTGCGGGTTTTCGTCGTGGGGATGTCCTTCCACATCGTTGTTGCGTCGGTTTCCTCGATGACCGGTCTCACCGCGCCACCGTCCCTGGAGGCGAGGTTGTCCGCCACCATCGCCGTCTTGGATACCTTGGTCGCGCTGCTTGTCCTTTCGCCCACCATTGACTGTGTCGCCTTCGCCTTTCACCTGCTCGTCGCCTTCGTGTTCTAGATCGTAGTGCGACTTCTTCTTGATTTTGCTCTCTGCATTTACACCTGCAGCATATTGCGCCCGCACTTCGTGGTCCTTACGCACCCGCTTTTCAAGGTTCAACAAGCGATCTTCAATCGCTTGCAGATCTTCTTCCTTCACGCGACGGAGGGCGCCCCGACGGTTGTCTGCTACGTCGGTCATCGTGTTTGTCTGAATGGCAAATGCGCGACTGGCCTGGCAACCATCACCTTCCCTGACAGTCCGCCATGTTGATCCAACAACTGCAGAAGTTCTAAAAATATCGAAACCAAGATATGAAGGTACTATGAAAAATGTATATACATTTAGAGAGTGCATGAATTTTGAAAATATATGCGAGGCGGGATCAAATCATAGAGGTTTCTCGCCAATCCAAGGAAACGAGTATTATGTGTCACAGGAAATACATTGTGGGGGTATTCGAATGTAGGGTGTGCCTCATCACAAGCGGAGCGACGCCTGCGCAACAAGTCGACCATGGCAGGGCAAAGGAAACTCCTGAGCGAGATAGATCGGACATTGAAGAAGGTGACCGAGGGTGTGGAGGTGTTCAATGGCATCTGGGATAAGGTGTATAGCGCCGCAGGGCAGGCACAGAAGGAAAAGCACGAGGCAGACCTCAAGAAAGAAATCAAGAAGTTGCAGCGGTTCCGGGATCAAATCAAGACATGGATCGGCAATTCAGACGTGAAGGACAAGCGGCCACTCACAGATGCGCGGCGTCTCATTGAGAGCAAGATGGAGGAGTTCAAAGTGTGCGAGAAGGAGACGAAAACCAAGGCGTATTCGAAGGAGGGGTTGGCACAGGCGGACCGATTGGACCCGGCGGAACAAGCAAAGCAAAGCACTATCGGGTGGATTCAGGACGACTTGACCCAGTTCAGCGAGCAGATCGAGTCGATGGAATGCGAGATCGAGCGGCTGCGCGCGATCAAGGGCAAGAAGAACAAGGCGGACATGGAGGCCCTCGAGCTCGTGATTGCTCGGCACAAGTGGCACGTGCTAAAGCTCGAGCAAATCGCTCGGCTGCTAGACAACGACGCGATCGACCCCGCCGACGTGGACGGTTTGAAAGACGACATTGACTACTACCTGGAGGCGAACCAAGAGCCCGACTTTATGGAAACGTACGGAGAAGACGACATTTACGAGGTCTTGGACTTGGACGCGCTCACCAACATCCAGCTGAACTCGAATGGAGACAACGACGATGACGGATCGGACCACGAGACGGAGCCGCCGCCGCCGCCACCCGTCCCCGTCTCGAGCCGGAGCACATCCAGCACTCGCGCTGCCGCCAAGAAACCGTCGGTGTCAGCACCTTCGGCGGCGGTGCCGACACCTGCGTCGGCCGCGTTGCCCGCCGCTGGCATTGGTCGTGGTGTGCCTGGCAAGGTGGAGCCTCCCCCACGGGCAGTTGTGCCCCCGCCACCGATGCTTAAGGAACCCATGGCCCAAGTTCTCTTGCGCAAGGAACAAGCGGCGCAGGCTGCCGCCGCCGCCCTGGCCGCCAAACAGAGCGATCCGTTTCCGCCCGTTGGAGCGTCGATTCCTCCTCGAGACCTTCCTGGTACCCCAACGGCGTCGCCGTCTCGTCAGGTGCCACCACCTCCGCCATCGACGACCACGATTGGCAAGCCACGACAAGCCAGCAACAGCAGCGTAGAAAACCCTCCACCGACACAGGCAGCCTCTTTGGCGACCGCTGCGCCGTCGTACGATGACTTGAAGACATCAACGAACGGCAGTGCGTCCCCGTCGAAGGCAACGTCGTCACCTGCCCCCACGGTGCCCCTTCCGCCGCAACCGCCCGTTGTCCTGAGCGACGAGCGGCGTCAGTTGCTCCGATGGATCGACGAAAGCTTCAAACTCATGCCGGACGCCGCCGACTCAGACAAGACGAGCCGATACGTCCCGCGCAACATGTACCCGACGCCTCCGTCGTTTCCGTCGGTGCCGTCGCCGCTGTTTGAGAACCCCGCCGTGTTTGAGAAACTGGATCTGGACACGCTCTTCTTTATCTTTTACTACCAGCAAGGCAGCTACCAGCAGTACCTGGCCGCGCTCCAACTCAAAAAGCAAGCGTGGGGGTACCACAAAAAGTACAAGACCTGGTTCAAGCGTCACGAAGAGCCGCAAATGACGGGCGAGGACTTTGAGCAAGGCACTTTTGTCTACTTTGACTACGAGACGGGCTGGTGCCAGCGCATCAAGACGGAGTTTACGTTCGAATACAGCTACCTTGAAGACGAACTGGTATAGGACTAGAAACCATGCCCGATAACATATACTAGTAACACCACACCCTTCAATCCCACCTGCCTGTCTGCGTCATGAGAGATGATTTTTACTTGGTGAAATCCAATGTGTACGGTATTCACATCCTATTAATAGTATGCAAAACCTTTGTCGTTCGAACAAAGGTGGTTGTTCTGTGCTGTTGTTGCAAGGAGGCTTGGCTGCTGGAGGGCAGCCAGCCAGCCGCGACCGCTACATACGTACCAGTGTATTTTGTGCTTTGCAACTCTATTGGCATACTCGCTCTCAAATCCGCAGATTAATAAAGACATCCCAACATGCTGTAAGATTGAATTCGGCAGAGATACAGTGTAGAACGTCGAAAACGTTACACCCAGATTTATTGAGCTCGTTGTGAGTAGAACGCTGATGTTGGACTGGGAGTACGTAGTATTTGTTTGCACGTAAATATGAACATGCAATGATTGCGGGCTCAACACTTGCCCTCCTCCCCAAATAATTTGTATCATATCGACAATACTTGGAACCACTTTTTCGTTTTCTAAAAATATCTACTTGGAATAGGCCCTTTTGCGCAAGTCATACTATCAAGTCGGTTCGTCATTGGAGAATCGAATAGACTTGGCAATTTTCGATTTGAGAATGAACTAGCCAATCAAAATCCATTCTAAATCGTGAAGAAAAAGAGGTAACGACGTTACATCGATTTTGCTTGGCTGATGATGCTATTTCGGAAAACTAATTGGCACAAGGTTGCTGAGAGGACAACAACAGTGCATGTCAACCCTTGTAAGCTTAGGGTGCAATCGAATCGCGCCGACCAAACCGATCCACAATCGATCTGATTGGTTGAATTTCATTGAGAAGGTTTTGATTGGCTAATAATGTTGAGCGTTCATCTGAGGTAGCCAATCAAATCGATTTAAATTCCAACGAGAAACCACAACACGAAATTTCACTCGAAGCACAATATTAATACATGACATCTTTTTCTAAATCGCCCCCCTTTACAAGATTTCTGAATGGTTGTAAGTCATGTTTTTCGCGCTAACGTTATTAATAGTATTACCATTAACAGTATATAACACTTACTGGATCGTCTATTCGGATTTACTATAACATTTGGCTGAAATGTCAATAACGTAGAATGCCAATTGTTGCAATACAACTCTTTTTGGTTTTCAGGAGAATTCCTGATTGAGGCATCCTTTTTGAATCCTGAAGTGCCCTAAATTGAAGACAATTTTCAGGGCAATCCACCAATTATCAACGTGCAATGTATTTCGCACAATTCAGCTTTATACATGTCGTCATATTTGCTATACCTCTATAAAGTGGTGTGCCAATTGTTGACGTATTATTTTAACCTTCCGTGTTGTATGGCTACGCGTATAAGTATTCAGAGGTTTGATCTGTGATTGGCGCTTTTCCAATTTAGGGATCAGTGATTGGCTTAGTTATATAATTTTATTAATTGGCACATACGCCATTAATTGGCATTTTACGTTAACTTACTTTTTTTTATATTTGCTCAATTCGAGGTCGTCGAAGGCAACAATATGCCACTGCACGTCGTTTGCGTTGACATCGCACTCAAACGACCACAACATGGACACAGGCGTCTTGATGACAAAGTCTTTCCACCTCGACGAGATGCGCATGGTCCGGTCTACGACCACGTGCACGTCTAATCGGACTAAACCATCGTTACGGGAATCGAAGTTGCGCGCATGTTGCCTTTGGTGGGTGTCGGCATTGAGGAGCGAGCGGTGGCGAATGTGGAGATGTCGCAGGTCGTACAGCATGCCCCGCTTATCGGCTTCTTGCACTTGGAGCACACATTTATTGAAGCAATCCACGGCCAACACACGCTGCAGAACTTCCACGTCGGGACACATGGTGCCGTCCATGCAAAACGCGCGAAATCCTTCCGAATAGGTCGCGTGGAGCACGACATCGACGGCGGCGTCGGCGCCGGTCATGAACTCGTCGAGGTCCACGTGGTCGTCCACTTGATGCAGTTCGCCAAACACTTGCAACTTGTGCTGAAAACTTAATACTGGTGACGTGTGATGGCGGCATTGCTTGAGCGTCGTCAACATCTTCGTGCAATTTTGGACGATGGAGTGGGCGGTGTCGCTCCAGGGCGACGGTGCCGATGGGTAGGCTTGCGACGTTGAGCTCGACTGGCGAGCATAGGTGCGTCGTATACACGAAGTGAAGGGCCTGCGGGTGTGATGTAACATGTTGGACTCTGGGATTGGACTCTGGGATTGCGCAAGAAGCGGAGGCGGCGGTGGTAACAGCGCCGCGAGAATAGAAGAATAAGGATCGGCTAAATGTTGCATGCTATCAAAAAGAGTAGCCATAACGACAGATCCGGATATGCGAGGCCATATCCGGATAGAGAATAAGCTCAACACATACTTACAGTATTCAGTGGACGGACATGTCTACTGTCCTTGGCGAAGGATAGATACAAGTCGCAAGCCAGGGATGACAGCGCAGCCCTTTCCAAAATCCATGGTCGAGTATTTTAGGTTTCCCTTTTAACTACTACTTGAAGTACATAGTACTACTAATATTTAAGAATAATAATGTCAAAGGCAAAAGGGGCGTTCAACACAGCTTTCAACCTCAATCGTACAATGGGATAAAAGTGCCCATACTTTACGTGGCTCGTGAACAGCCTTTGTGGCGTCACTTACCACAAGGATGGTAAGAATAATAATATAGATATATTTCTGTATCTAGTGTTATGTGATTGGTGGAAATTGAGAATTAATGTTCCACACCCATTCAACTTGCAAAACGAAGGATGCGCAAGATGCGGAGACCAGGCCCGTACTACGTAGTATAAGCTAACTGCGTCAACACGGTACGAGTCGGGATAATCCTTTTGTACAACGTTACCGGAACGAGAGTTCATGACTCCCGTCAGTTGATACTGTAGTCTCCTTCGGCAGTAAGATCACGAAGTAAATGTAGTAATTTGAGCGATTCGTCTTGACATTTGAATAAGCTTAGATACAGTAGGTGCATCTATAAAGCGCCTACTGTTACGTACATACCCCTAACACCGAGCGCTTTTTAGTTGCCAGAGTATATCAATACCGGTACCGTACTGCATTTACAGTTAAGGGTAAAAAGGCATGGAATCGACAGAACAGGATAAGAGGAAGTTATGTTGTGCCTCAACTATGCAAGGCACAACGACAACGACAAACAACCACCATCATCTACAGTAACGTTGTACAACTTGCTCTAACAAACACTCCTGCGGCAGAGCAACGGGCGCACGTATGTCGTCTGTGTTCCAAAACTTTAATGATAAAAACATGACGGAGACATTTACTGTTTACCGACATCTACTTTTTGCAACGTAATATATGAGACACTTGGCCAAAGGGATATATTTATCTTGATAGTTGTATGGGTAGGTGTATCCGTACATAGTATCCGTACATTTAACGATTACAAGGTACGAAGTAGATATTAAAAACGAATTCGACAAATCTGAGTTTTGAGGGTTTAACGTGTCCATACTCAAGTTTACAGAACGTTGGACTATAAAACGTTCCCTTCGAATTGGCCAAAAATTTGGCCAATTCGAAGGATGATGATTTTGAAAATGAAAAGTGAAGCAATATAATAGACAGTCATGATCTATTTCACTTGGATAAATAATTATATATTCATCGCCGATGGCGCAAAGCTTGAGCAAGAAGCATGTCCTTGAAGAGGACGAGTATGTGGATGCGCTCGACAAGATCATTGAGCGCGACTTCTTCCCGGACTTGCAGCGACTCAAGCATCAAACGATGGTACGTCCAATGCTGCTTTCCAAGAAAGTCCTTCATGTACGTACGTAGTGGCTGGACGCCCTAGCTACAAACAACCGTCGCCTCATCCAAGAGGTCCGGGAGTACTTGCTCCATCAGCAGTCGTCACAAGATGCTTCTCGAAGCAGTTCCCATCCTGATTGTACGTCCATCGACATCATATACGCCCCCTTCCGTATGATAATCCTTGTTGTTAGCTGTACCCAAGACTCGAACGCCGTTGCTGGCCACGTCCGAGTCGGCATGGGACCAACCTACTCCGCCCCGCCAGTCTTCAGACGAATTGAATGTCGATCTTGACGCTGCAGCCGCCGCTACCTCTGTCGAATCAACATCCAACGCTACTACCATCGTCACGACGACGTCCACGATGACCCTGAACGAATTCATCGTACGCGGGGGTTGCTTTGTCCATCCGTTCCCTGAGCGACCACACGTCCGTAGGCCAAACACACATCCGAAGACAACGCCGCGTTTGAAGAACTGCAGGAGAAAGCCGTGAACGACCACAAGCGAAAGTACCATTGGGCGTACGAGGACACGGCCAACCGCGGCGACGCCAAGCTCCATCTCCTGAACGACGGCACTTGGATCAGCCGAGAGCGCCGTCAGCTCATGGACAAAGCATGCGACACCAAACTCGGTACCGCGTTTATATGCTCGTTGCCAGAACGTTCTTCGATTATTCTTGGGAGCACTCAACGCACATATGGACATATCTCGCTTTATCTAGCGCTCGAAGACAGCCGACCTGCGGCGCCAGACACGTGGACATTTCGTGTGCGTAATCCACTGCACTTTCCACCAGACTTGGACACGAACCGAAGCATTTGCAAGGTACATCTGATTCGTCCGAGCGCGCTTCACACGTCGTCTGGGTCTGTAGGTACCCCCACTGAACGCGCCGCCATTATCGTCTGCACTGCTCCAGCTTGAACATGGGGGCACGGCGCCAACGCTGGGGGCCGCAGGGGACGGCAATCCGTCGGCTGCCAGCGTCGTGGCCGCCAACGGGACCAAGCGGACGGGGGCTGCGGCGAAACCGCCGATGGAGACGGTGTACGCCAACTCGCGCTTTCGAACGGCGTTCTTGTCTGCCCAGGTAGGTTGAGTTGATATTATCATACAACCAAGTTGTAAAGCCACCGGGTGACTTGGCCCTTGCTGTGATTGAATGGGCTGCTTGTGTGAAGATATGGGATGGACTCGTGCATATCACAACACACAAAAGAGTGGATGGTTGTGCTCGGTCGTAACAAGAGTCGTGGCGGAATAGGACGAAATGAAAGACGTGGATCCCATGAAGGATGAGCTGCAGAATTTTGTGCCGATGACGCCCCTGTTGGTGCCAGGGGCGGCGGATGCTGCGTCGCCCATGATCACGTGGGGTAGCATCGACGCCACGCCCGTGATCCTCCGAGAGGATGCCTTGATCGGTACCGAAGCTCTGCATGGATATCATCAACTGGATGGGTTGCCATGCATGTGGAAGTAGATGCTGGACGCAAGACCACGTTTGTGATCAAGGATTCGTCTGCAAGAGAAAAGCTAGCACATGCCATGGATGCCAAGAACAAGCAGGTTTGCGATACAGTTATTTGTAGCTGTGGGTTGTATGGCGGCTAGCTAAATCTCATGTGTGTGTGGGCGTAGAGGTCCAAGGCGCGACAGACGCCGACACCTCTGTTCTCTAAAAAGTATACACCCACGCCTCTCAAAAGCGGCGCGCGGACTCCGTCGTTGATGTTTGGCAACGACATGCAGTTGCGAGCGAGCTACTCGACCCCCGCAAGACTCCCACCTCGACCTCCATCGTCGTCCAAGAGGCCATGATGTTGTCCTTAACTTTCACCTTTGCAACCTATTGTGGTGCCAACGCCAGCGCTGTTGTATTACCAACTGGTCGGTTGAAATGTTGGGCGTGTGATCTTTGTGTCAAACGTTGCCAAGTACATACATTGTACGTTGTCGTACATTGGCATACATTAGCCAAGATAAATATTGTACGAAACGTACAGTACATTCAGTCCCGTTGTCCGGATGTTATTTATAGCATCCAACTCCACTGCTGGAAGCAAAGTGACATTCATAAGAGTTGTCTGACCTTGATCATCTTGTCATCCAACACGAGGCCACGTCTTCATACGCGGTCGACCAACATTGCATGTCCATGGAGGCAGATGGGGTGTACAAGCTGGCTATCCTTGGAGGTGGTCCTGCTGGCATTGGTATCCTCGTCCGCGCCGCACGGCTCGGCCTCCTGCCACAGCTCCTACAACCTCCCGACAATGCTACGCGAGGTGTGGCGCTTATCCACGGCGGACCTGTGGAGACGCTTGGCGTGGGCAACCTCGGCGACTACATCATCAACTCGAACACGTATGCCAAGAGTTTGGTCACGAGTATATTGGAGGAAAAGCCAGAACTCGACCCACCAGAGTCGGTGCAAGGCACGTTTCTCGCGAACCTGGCGACGCATGCCACAGCCACACGTCTCATGGATGCCGGGAATACTACTATTGCACTGGCAGAGCTCGGCAAGTTTCTAGGAGCGGTCGGCCAAGAGGCTCGTTTGGAAATGCTCAAGTACACGGCGTCGTCCACTTGCTACGTCAACACGACCGCGTTGCGCGTCGAACGCATCGTCGCGACAGCTCCTTCCGTCGACGGATCATCGGTGGAGCCAAAAACTTCCCATGTTTGCAAGATCACGATTCAACCCGCGGGGGGCACTGCCACGTGCATCTTTGCTGAGAGCGTGGTCCTGGCGATGGGCGGAAAGCAAAGCTTGCCCACGACCGACTTGAGTGCGTCGCAGTTGGCCAAAACGTGGCTAAGCGATGCCGTGCTTCGCGAGCCTGGTCGGGGGATGCTGGCGAGCGCGCTGGCCGCGGCCCCGCAGAAGAAGGTGTGCATAGTCGGCGGGTCACACAGTGCGTTCTCGGTGGCGTGGACGTTGCTTCAGAAACCCACCCAAAAAGACAAGACGATATCATTTGCAGCCAAAGACATAACGATCCTCCACCGCGCGCCCGTTCGATGTTACTACGCAACCAAGAAAGAGGCCGAGGCCGACGGCGTCGTCGTCGACAAACTTGACAAGTGCGGCAGTGTCAACACGTTTACTGGCCTCCGCGAAGACGCCAAGGCGCTCTTTCAAGCCATTGAAGCTGGCAAAGAGACCCGCGTGCGGCTCTTCCACGTGAGAAAGCAAAGCGCGCCGGTGCAAACGCAGGCGCTGGACGCAGCCACAGCCATCGTGTGGTGTTGTGGCTATGGCACCAACATGGTACAACACGTCAAGATATGGCGGTGAACACTAACGCATTGGATCTGAATGGAGTAGATACCCTTGGTCCATGGAGATGGCACGCCGTTGGAAGTGAGCCACAGCCGCGGCGGGGCGGTCGAAATCGACTTGCACGGGCGGCTCGTGCGCGCAGAGACCCATGCGCCCATCGACTACCTCTTTGGCATTGGTGTTGGGTTCAGTTTGCGAGCCGCGTTTGACGAAATGCGCACGGAAACCAGAGCCGACGGAGTGACCGTGTACCATCGGCGGGGTCGGCAACTTCTTCGTCATTGATATCCAATGCCTGCATTCTAACGGTGCGACGTAGGGGCCACGTTGATCCTTGCCTCTGTGTTTGGCACCGTACCGGTCTACGGGCACGACTGCGTCACGTTTGAGCAAATGGTGGAAAAGTGTGAACGGAGACGCAAAAAGGACGACAAGACTGTCACGTCCCCCAGCGCAGCGTCGCATCATCGGGATGCCGCTTCACTCCAACGGTATGAATTGTATTCAGGCTAAAGTGTCTTGTGGATTCGATAAGTGAGCACAAACTCGACCACGCGTAGGTTGGCCACCGCCAAACAAATTTCATTGGACCGCACCACGCCACCATCCCCCGCTGCCCCTGCCCAAACCTCCCCCGCACCCCCGTCCAAGCTCAAAGTGGTCGGTTCCTTCTCGAATGAAGTCTCCCTCCAAACTAACCATTGGGGGGTTTACCATTGGATAGCCCGTGTCCACTGCATCCACAACTTGTCATGGTGCCACGATTGTGGTGACGGTGCCACTGATTGTAGCCCCCGGTACTGTCAAGAAGGGAGCTACGGGAAACGGCCTCAGCGCCACCAAGAGCAAGCACATCACTTCGTCCCCTTCGCGACAGACGAGCCTGACGCGACGCAGCAGCTTTGGAGAAGTGCGACGGCACACGAGCCATTCAAATCTGAGAATAGACCCAACTGCTGCCCCTTTCTCGTCATCAGTGCCCCAAGCCCCAACGACGCCATCGAAAGATGGGAGCATCGTGGTGTCGGCGCGGAGCTGTGGCAAACCTGCCGCTCGGTCTGTGGCCGGCGGAGCTAAGGATGCCATTCAAAGCATCCGATCGGGTACAGGCCAAAACTAGCAGTAGGACGTACGGTGGGCTTGACCGCGGTTGTTATGGTTGGTAGTGCGCCGCACTCCACGCAATCAAGATGAGTCACCTCCCGTGGTCAATGTAGAACCAGCACCTCCAGTGGCAGCCGTGCCTTGATAGTAGCGCTTCGATATCACGACTTATAACATCGTGTATGTATTCACGTCGTCGATGCAATAGTACCTAGTATAATAATGGTATTGACATTTGCACGAGAAGTTTCTCGTAGAAAACTGCTGTGTTGTGTTTGCTACTGAAGACATTATGATGGTCATGCGAAGAAGATATACTACGTAGTCGGTCCCGCAGGATGTATATACAGTAGTACGGGTACAGCTAAGTCCTTTTGAGGGTTTTTTGTCTATTGCAATGGAAAAAATAGACGAATCTAATAAACCTGTACTACGTTTTGGGTACCACGTGGTGCTGCAATGTCAAAATCGCGTCGATCTGGTTGGCTTCGGCGTCGTACCCAAGGTTGACAAACGACTTCCTCGCACTTTCGTACGCGGTCACGGTCGCTTGCGTCGGTGGTTGTTTTGACGACAGGTTCAACTTGTGGAGTTGCCGAAAGGTCGCGATGGCGCTGGCGTGGTCGTTGGTGAGCGAGTACGCCGTCACGAGCGCTTCAAGCTGCGCCGGCGTGAGTTCGTTCCGTGTCCCAAGTCGTTTAGCCACGTACACGACAAACGCGTGCCCTTCGACGTCGTCGGGGCCGACGCGACGCGCGCAGTTCTTGAGCATGGAGCGCCACTGCTGCGGCTTCACAACATGGGGCGGACACAGCGGGTCAGTAAGCATGAGGCGAAGGAGTCGCCACTTCTTGGCGCCTTCGGCCATATTGAGCGCCTTCCACCACCATAAGTGCGTGTCCAGGCTGAGCAGCTCCTTGCGACTGGCGAGAAATGTCCACAGGTCCACTTCGTGCATGGTCATGGTCCGTGTTACTTTGTGCAGCACCGTCATGGCTTCCTTGTCGCTTCGAAAGATGAGACGGAGGGATGGCGGACAGGCTGCCAACACCGCCATTAAGTCGGCGTCCAGGTCGCGGCTAGCGTAGTAAAATGCCACCCGACCGGCGATCGTCGACGCTTTCAGGTGATGCTTTTGCGCATGCGCGTTCTGGAGCATGTCCATCGCTTTGTTGCTGCGGCCCGAGCTTATGAGGGCCTCCACGAACGGTCCGCTGATATAATCCACGCTCTTGGCCCTGTATCACACACACACATAAAACACAATGGCCAACACTATATTGATAACGTGAGGATTGCCGTTTTGAAGCCAACCCGATATGCAATGACCGCACATAACGGTCACACTTGCCATCGACAGTAGAAAAAAGGTCGTTTGGTTACCGATAGGGAAGGCGCCCAAAGTCTTCGTACACGGTTACCGCCATGTCAAAGTCGTGGATGTACACGGCGGCCTCCATGACGCTGCCAAACAGTTCCGGCGACGTCGGCGGGATGTTTTCAAACGTTTGCATCTTCTCATACAAGTCCAAGATCAAATCGGCGCAGTCCGACGCGTAGCTTTGGTCGACGTCGGCGCGAATCGCCGACGCGAGGCCCTAGCTCTCGTCAGTTGGAGCCATGCAGAAGACTAGCGCAGCCTACCAACATGGCGCGGGCATAGTCAACTTCACGCAGCTTGATGCCGTGGATGTCTACGTCGTCCAGGATGGCCATGATTTCCTTGGCGTCGTTCAGCGTGCTGAAGATGTGCAGCGCCTCCCGGTAGGCGTAGAGCCCCCGCGGGTACTTGCGGGCACACATCGTACGCCACGCGCTGGCGGCGACGTCGAATTGGGTCGTCCGGACCAAAGCGCTGAGGTAGTTGGCGTTCATGCTCTCGGTAGGGAAGATGGAGAGAGACGTCGATAGGTCGTACGCGCGCAGGACGCGGCTGAACTGGCGGTTGAAGGTGAGTACGCCGAGGATGAAGGACATGGTTTGGCGCTTTGGCATGACCAGGCTGGACGCCGTCGCCATCTCGTGCAAGTTGTCGAACAACAAGAGCGCGGCGTCCGTGGCGCGGTGTTGGACCAGCAGCGCCATCGCTTCGCTCTCAACTTGGGCCGTCATTTCGGCGTTATAGAGGACTTGAGAAGAGGAGAGGGGTGGCGGGGCCGTGGTTGCCTTCGACTGGCGCTTGATTCTATGGTGGCCACCTGCTTGCAATGCACTGGCCAGTGGCTGATACCATTTCGCCACTTCCTGCACCACTGCCGCGAACTCCCCGCGATTACAGAGGTCCCGCATGTGGTTCTTGGTGTGTGCCAATGCAGCCATTTCCGTGGCATCGAGCTTGTGCGGCGGCCGTGACGGCGGCGACGAAGCCGGTGTGGTTTGGAAAGAAGGGGATTGAGTGGACGCGGGAAGGTCTCGCGACGTCGAGTAGGTTGCTGTGAATGGATGGCGGTTCCATCTGCCAACAGGACGAAATAGTCGAGTTGTGGATGCAGTTCGACTGAGACGTACTGCCGATACGGCCACACGACGGCAACACAGCGACGACAGCACCATGCACAACTTCAAAATGCTATCTATACCCACACCAATTGTTTGTGGAAGTGCGATGTTCGGAGGTCCTTTTAAAAAGGCTCAAACGTTTTAAAACGTATTTGAAATGTTCAGATCCTTTAAAAAAGGACTCGAACGCTTTAAAAAGCATTTGAAACGTTCATCGAAGTCTCCCATTGGTAGTAAAAAAGGGTAAAACCAATCAGCCAATCACACGAGTTGTCGAACTGGCGGTTGGCCTTATTTGGCAAATCCCCTACGGATGAGCCACTCGGCGATCGAGCAACTGGCGGCCACAACCACCCCTCGCCGCGCAGATCCGAAGCGACGAGGATGTCTTCTCCGCCGACACCATGAGATCCGCTACGCCGTCATCATCACCGATCGTGCCCCCATGACTAACGAGCCTGAAGTCGTTCATTGCCTCTTCTGCATGCATTTTGGGCGCGAGGTGTTGAGTAGCGTCGTGCGCACACGCAAGCCGATGAAGAAGGTCAAGACGTTCAAGGCACCGTTCCGTGTGGATCACTTCACGCAGCACCACAAGATCCATCACCTCGAGCGATGGGAGTACTATTGCAGCGTCACCGACGACGAGAAAAAGGTGTACTTCTCGTCGGATCCGTTCGCGTCCGACGAGGTCATGATCGATTTGCCACTGGAGCGACTAGAACGTACCCGGGGGCCTTATAAAGTGGCGCCCAAGTTCATTTCATCTAAGGCGGCATCGGATCCGGCGAAAGATGCGCGGATTACGACACCAGCGTCCGCAAAATTGGACGAGTCGGCTGTACAATACCCCCAACAGTCAATACCAGGTCGGTTTGACAAGGCCGAAGTGGAACAAATATTCATGTACACCCAGCAGCGGCAGCAAGCAGACCTGGAAATCGCACGGAAGAACCTCGAGCTCAAGCAGATCGAAGTCATCAGCTCGTCGATGATGGCGCGACAAAAGATGCTGGATGCGGGCATCTCGCAGGAACACGTCGACCGGTTGATTCCGTTCCCCGACGGCATGGGAACGCAGTCTGTGTCGTTATAAGTCGAAATAAGTTGCCTTGATTTGCGTCGGTCAGAATGTGGTTACATGTGATCTGGACCAGCGAGTTCCATGATGTCCAAGGCTCTCGATTTCACAATCGTGACATTTCATTGGCTGGTGGTCATTTTTCCCATTCTACGTAGCCAATCAGTGACAAGCAATTTCAGATGACCGAAGTGTCGACCAGTCGTCGAATAGTGATGGGGGGGGCGTTCCTGGAGAACGAGGTCTGGTGGCCTATGTTGTTGGTTGGTACTGCTGTGGTAGGCAGCCACACGTTCTGGGCCATGGCAGACCCAAACGGGGGCGCACACGTAGTACGTCATGGTGATGTTACGTTGTACTAGTACACAAGCACACGTGAGGACACGTCTGTGGCGGCCCTGCCGCATCTAGGGCGTATCTGGGGCAATCCTGCGTTTGGTATACGTGGGCTAACATGAAGGAAACGTAGACACCATAGATGCCAGTTGACTGAACATGATTGCGTGCATTGTCGTGGTGATCATGCTTGAGATAATCTTACCGAATACCGACAGACAAAACTTCATTTACACTCGATTTACTCTCTTTTCGAAGCGGCCGACAGAACGTCATATAAGCGGCTGTCCACAGCCCTCTACGCCGCTTTCGCGGGTCTGCTGCAGTTGCGACGTCACTCTTGCTCAAGATTGTACGTATCCTACCGTTATGATTGGTCTACATCGCACCAATCAAACCTCGAATAACATTTCATCGCAAAAAATTAGCGGCAATTTTTGCAACTTCGTGAGTAAAAGGGCCAACCTTTTGAGGATATAACGTGATGGTCGCCATAATGGACAACTCAACAGACTCGGCGGAGGAGCCAAACGGCGTGATCTGGGCGCTCCTGGAGGACGAGATCTGGTGGCCTGTGTTGATGCTAGGCAGCCACCCGCTCTGGAGCATGACAGACCCAAACGGGCCGACGGTGTACCAGTTTGGGACGCACGCGTAGTACGTCATTGTGTGCTTGTCCTCGATGGGGCCACGGTGATGTTACTTTGTACTAGTACACAAGCACACGTGATGACACGTCAGTGGCGCTTGAGCACTCGAAATGTCTCCACGGACAACCAGTCCTCGCAGCTTCAACCGACAAAGTGCTAAACAGGTTTGCTGTTGCCGTGGCGGAAGCCAACGTAAACACTTGTTCATATCCATTCGAGGCGACTCATGTAGCTCATGGTCAGGAGTTTTGCATTGCATTTACGCACGCGTCAGCTCCGCCACCAAGCTCGAAACCGACGACTTTGCCGGTGTTGGTCGAATCGAAAAGTGTGGGCGACGCCACTCCACCGGCCGTCGAGCCCGACATGGCCGACATTGCGTTACACGAAATGTGTTTGCAACACTACTGGGATTGTTTCCTCTCCAGTCCCAGTAACGAGTCCGTCGCAGCGTTTTCGTCAAGGTTGGACGCGACAATCGCCACATTGATCGCGGTCGTCATCTTCGTGTCGAAGAATCCATTGCGAAAACTCCCATCCACGACCATGCAAACAATCCACCGCACCCTTTGGCGAATGGACCTGCCATGACGTGGAGGTGATGACGCGGCTGCCGGACAAGAGTGTTGTGGACGGCTGCTTTCGCGTGTTGATGTGGTCGTTGCAAAGTGTGATGACACCTCGATTAGAACCCCAAACCGCAAAGCAGTGGGTTCACTTGATCAAAACCATCCCTGATGGTATCCTTGCGTCGACTCGCACGACGTGGACTTGGCGAAGCACTTTTTCATGTCCAATTTCCTATATGCGGGAAAGTCGTCGAGTTCTCGATGGGGAAGAGGACGAAACACATGCAGACACTGCGACTATTCAACAACCGGCTCTACGAAACCTACGAGGACGAAGCGCTGTATCGCATTCACCTGGCTTGGCCAATTCTATTGCCAAGGGTTACAGCTCCTGCGCAACCACACAGTCCAAACCTGTCAAGCCAGGAGGAATCTCGAACAGTGGCTGCTGCTTCCAGCTGGGATGACGTGGCACCACCTGCGGCAGGTTCGCACGATGGTACAAACGACAGCATGAGGACACCAGAACGAGACCCCAGTATGGACATCATCACACCACCAACGCCGCGACCCACGTCGGAATGTACAGTGTCGCATTCAACAATGGGTTCATTGGGGCAGTCGAGCCAATCAGCAACCACTTCAGCTTGGCCACGTAGCCCAAAGCTGCAAAGTCAGTGGCCAGTGGATGACGTGGTGTCACCTGCGACGACTTCAACGCCAATGAAACGAGCTCGCGATGATACGACCAACACAACAGAGGAGCAACAACGATGGAACCCGAAAATCCGTCGCCCAACACCGACCGCGGAGGAATACACGGTGGATTTTACGGCTGGCCAGTTGGGGCTCGTCTTGCAAACGCGTCCAAGTGGTGTCCTCGTCGGCACTGTGCTGCCAAACTCTCAAGCCTCCCGCGCGGCGGTTATCAAGAAAGGGGACGTGTTGATTAAAGTTCGGGGAATTGCAATTAAATCCAAGATCGAAATCGTCGAGCGCTTCGTGGGATCCACGGTTCGTCCATTACATATCACGTTTCGACGGGAACTTGCAGAATAAGACTGAATATTGGTGTGGTGGATGCTAAATTAAATGAACTTGTTGTCTCCTCGATGAGAATCGAAGTATCTGTACTACTCGTGAGCGCGTAGCATGTACACTGTACATATGATCAAACACATCAATCATTACGCCGCACTGCAGGCTAGCATGTCCATGCAACCAAAACTGGCATCGATGGATGGCCTGGAGGCTGCGGGAAATGATAAACTTTTCGATCCTCAAACGATATGGTAAGTGGACTGCAAGTAACGTATAAAAATATGACATTTAAATGTTTAGCCCGAGTCTGGATGACATAGAAAATTTTATGCCGAATAATATTCTGATAGGGAATTCCCTTTTTAGGTAAATATTTTCAAAATGTTCTGATGCGACCTTTGGATACCATGCGGAATGAGAACTACTCCAGTATTGATAGAATACTGATTCTGTATCATGTTGGTAAAAAAGGTCAGCAATAGGTGAAACTTTTTTATTAATATGTCAATTTATGTATGTCATACTTGTATTTGGTAGCCAAACACGCAAAAGTCGTCCTTTGAAAAGTTGAAAATCTCAAAACATTTCTGAAAAGTTGCAAAAAGAGCTCTGACATTTTTTGTGCCACCCAGAGTGGCCCTAAAAAATTACTACTAGTATATTGTGCTTTCGAGTGAAATTTCGTGTTGTGCCGTGGTTTCTCGTTGGAATTTAAATCGATTTGATTGGCTACTTCAGATGAGCTCAAAATTATTAACCAATCAAAACCTTCTCAATGAAATTCAACCAATCAGATCGGTTGTGGATCGGTTTGATCGGCGCGATTCGATTGCACCCCCTCCCCAAATTTGTATCAAATCGACAATACTAATAATAGTAACATACTATTAATAGTAACATACTAGTATCAATGTATTAACTTGCTACTATAAATTATAGCTCAAGATGACAATTATTGTCAATAATTGCCATCTTTACGCTACATTTGAAATTTTCACCAAAATGCTGGCTTTAATGTGCTGCTTCGTGGCTCAGAGATCACTGATCAATGCAAGAACATGGTAGCGTGTACAACAACATCGATACTGCGTAATGAAGTGTCATGGACGGTGCTACGATGCTTATTGCAGGATATAATCACACTCAAAGTAAGCTATATTTCAGTTTTTGGCATGTTTGAGGTCACTTCACGCATGCTGAATAATTGCAATCGCCGCACACCATATCTAGTTATGTAGCCTGCAACCATGTCTTCAGTTTTCAAATTAAATGTAACACGCCCAGATATGCCGTTGCTGCGCAATTCAACGACAAAGTCAAGTACTTTCTGGATAATCATAATTGTCACAAATTATGACAAAAGTTATTAATAACTTGATGCTATATTTCGATGTTATCTTTTTAAATTATGACATACTTATTTTATATTAAAAATACGTAACGGTATTCTCGTCGAATGCATTAATAGTGGATACGTTTCCAAAAAGCATCGTAACTGGCGGCCAAAATTTGAAGTCCATACTACGTATACATCTTGAACAGCGGAATTTACTGTGAATAACAACGTCGCCTTGCACCAAAACTCGTCTCCTTCGTCCAGATAGTTAGGGCATCCCCAATGGTGCGACGGTAAACGTTATTTTACCGTTTTTGGGGTCAAATATGCAGTTTTGGCAATATCTACCGGAAACGGCATATTTTTACCGCGAGACGGCAAATCGGCCATTTTTACCGTTTTGTGACCACCCGACGGTAAAATACCGGAGCCAATCATAAACCACAAACCAGGATATTTCCACCAATAAAACGCATGTATTTGAGCATGGACATTTCCATACCAATACTGACACTGCTGGAATGGCTCTCAACGGGTGGGGTGCGAACTTCACCACTGACGAGGACTGCCAGCTAGTTTGTTCGTGGTTGAACATATCCCAAGATGAGTCTAAAGGGAGCGGGCATAAGGCCGAGCAGTTTTGGGCCCGCGTGGGGCCGACTATTGCACCTATTGCGATCCGGACTGCCATCGCACAGTACGATCCGTAGCTACTTGGTGGAGCAACATACT